ATGCTGGCTTAAATTTTAACTCACTCACTCTTGTATATGGACAGACAGATTAGATAGAAATTCTCTCAAGTTGGACAAGTAACAGTCAGAATTGTTCTTTTGAATTTGTGGGGGCCTTAGGGATTTGTCATCTGATGATGACTCTTGCTTGTTGTTGCTCTCACCCTTTGTACCTTGAAACATAATCGGGGAACCGGGATTGGAACCAATGATCATGCTGGCGTGCGGAAGGGATGCAACTCTGCACAGTGAATTGCAGCGGCTCAGGTGACTCAGCCACAAGTGCCCTCACGAATAGGATGTGCTCCCTCAGACAAATATTTACTCTCTTAAGGAGACACAAAATATTATTAGTCCTAGCCTTTGTATCCCTTTGAGCCTGCAAGTCAGAGAATACAACATACCTATCACAGGGATGCGCCTCAAGGTCACGATAACCTGAACTGCAGCTTCAGGTACAACTTGGTCACTAAACCTTTCTGATTCAGAACAAGAATACACAGACATGGCACAGGGGAAATAATGACTAACGTTCGTTTTAATTTGATATGGATGTAATAGATGCTGATTGGAAAACCTCTGGCCCTGGTTCAACGGATTAAGAACATTCATTCGGTATATTTTTTATACTATTGTTTATTTCCCTTTTTGGTCAGCTTTGGACGAGAGACGGGACAAACCTTCTAAAAGGCAAGGTTGGTGCAAATCCGAATTTGCAATCGAGGCGTGTATTATATCAAGTATACCAGTTCGTTTCTCTTGCGCTTCTGTATCTACATGTAAGAAGAAGATTTGTTGTTTTGCACATTACATACACGTTAGAATCTTATTTACTGAAACCATCGGAACTGCATTAAGATATTATGGAATGACGTCTCACAAAAATGATCCATGTAATCGTATCCCCATAGATCGAGACTCGCTCACAGGATTGTCTGGTCAATATTCGATTATTGACAGACCGCCGTCATATGGCTGGAATATTGCTGAGTGCAGCGTTCAACAAGAAACAACCAATGCAACTCCATGCCTTGGTGTCTTCATTTCCCTACTGTTGACGTGCAATCGAGCTGCTGTTTCTACCAAGATTTCAAAGAGTGTCATACAGCTCTTACTCGGAAGTTTTTAAATTTTTTATCAAGGTTACAGCATTCAAGGCCCCAGTGAAGCTTTCAAAATGTTTTGTGGTAGACATGTATAGGACATTTCAAAATACGATGCATCAGTGACAAGAATGATTCCCGATGCAATTCCCTATTTTGACTTGCATCTCCCCGTGTTATTTTTTTTCAAATGAACCGTTGACATGCCTTTGCATGTATTTGTGATATGTGCCACCGTTGGGACAGGATACGCACACCTTTTCGCGAAAACCTGGTATAATCACTATTTGAAACTATCTGAAGTGAGTGATATTATATCCAAAATATGAACAGTACTAACGCTTATTCAGTAATCAAAGAACCTTTATACAAAAGTACCCCGCCACAGATAACTTCTCACAAACTGTTCAGGGGTGGATCCAGGATTTAGGGCGATGGAGGCTTTGCTTTTGATTTTCATCTCTAGTTTGCTGAAGGGAACAGGCTGTATTTCCGCTTCGTCTCGTGCTGTGGAAAAGATAAATGGATCAAACAAAGATAAAGGAAACACTGTCAATCCTGTTTTCATTACCAGAGTTTGCTGGCTTCTTAATTACTTTGAAGTTGTTTCTGTGTCAGTTCTAATCCTGAAGCTAGTAGAAACAATTGTCAAGCCAATCACAATCACATCACATAAAGCACATCGAACTGATCTGAGTGAAGCTACTTATCGTGAAACGTATATGTACCATTTTGGGCTTGGGTTATTCATTGTAGAACTAAGTGGGAGGGTTGTGGTAAATGTTGTGTAACTAACTGAACATTCACAATGCGAGTAGGCATTACGATAATAGTCACACTGGGTATGAACCTGTGTTAGCATTGAACGAACAAACGGAGCGTAGAGCAGTCACCATGTTACCCAAGGGGGTCAATCACCAAAGGTATCAATGAATTCTTTGTGAGGAGGCTGTCCCATCATATGCAACAATTAAACGGCGGGTGTGTGTGTGTGAGAGAGAGAGAGAGATTGGGGGGGGGGGGGGGGGGAGGGAGAGTGTGAGAGAGAGAATTACATCACCAGCACTACCGTCCACAACCTGGTACTGATAAGAGTGGGTTAGTGAGTTGGGTTTATCGCCGCTTTTAACAGTCTTCCAGTTATATCGCAGCGTGTCAGCTTAATGTGGGAGGTAAGCCCGAAGTGATGCAGGTCTCAGACGTTTACCACTTCGGTGAAACCCATGAGCACGGGTATGGTGCTGACAAACCTAGAAACAAATTGGGGCGAACCGAAATTCGAACCCACAATCATAGGTTTCTGGCGTGCCCAAGGGACGCAACTCTGCACAGCGAATCACGGCGCCTAGGACGGCTTGGCCACTCCCGGCCCCCGGTACTGATAAGAAGACGCATAACACTCACAGAGTTAGAGGAGACCAAAGGCATATCATATGGGTCACTGGAATAAGAGCGACAAAACCTTGTCTGTTATTATATGTTATCAGATAAGACGTCATTTTTGTCACTGATGCGTCAAATTTGGAAATGTCCTCCCTCATCCCTCATGTCATTTAGTTTCATGGAGAATTTTGTTGTTGTTGTCACTCTTGATCTTTAAGCACAGATCTAAATATGAAACAGATCAGGTGGTTTCACGGGTCTCTTTCATTTCTAGTTAAAATCCTTCATGAACATCTATATGTGTCACAGGTTTGTGCGCGATTGGTTCCTCGAATGCTATCGGCTGAAATGAAGTCACCGCGGGTCACCATCTGTCACTTGTTAACCAGATATAACAGCAATCGAGAATATTTTCACACCAGGCTGCTGACAGGTGAGAGGCGGCCGGGTAGCCTACTGGTTAAAGCGTTCGCTCGTCACGCCGAAGACCCGGGTTCGATTCCCGACATGGGTACAATGTGTAAATATTATAGCTAAAAGCGGCGTAAAATCAAACTCACTCACTCTAACAGATGACGAAACCCGGATCCATCAATATGATCCCGAGAGCAAACAAGGATCCATTGAGTGGAAACACTTTGGGTCTCCCAAAACAAAGATGTTAAAAGCAACGAGATCAAAGCAAAGGCAAAATACACATCGATTATTTACATTGGGAACAACTTGGAATTGTGAATATTATGCCAGCTTCTTAAAAAGGAGTTCATTAATATGTTCATATCCCACGTAGTATGGGGGCAAGTCGATCCTTTACACAGTTTAACACCAAAATCGCTTTGTGGAACGAGACCATTAACATACAAACGGGGCCGACCTGACAGTTGTAAGAGGCGACTAACGGGATCGGGTGGTCAGGCTCTCTGACTTGGTTGATGCATGTTATCGTATCCCAATTGTGTGGATCGATGCTCATGATGTCAATCACTGGACTATTTTGTCCAAGCTCGATTATTTACAGACCACCGTCATGTAGCTGGAATAATACTGAGTGCGGTGTTTAACATCAAACAAAAAAACACTCCTGACAGTATGTGTCCCACCACACATCGCGTATAAAGGAGTCGAATTAATTATGCTGAATATATTTTCAACTTTGAAACTAAAATCACCACCCTGAATTATCGCATTTATTGATGTGCATGCATCATGACAATAACTTATATAAATATCGAACCTCGGAAATGCATTGGCCTACCTCCCACGTTGCATGAACGATTATTATGACAATGTGGTCCATAATTAATCTTTCCAAAGTAATAGCTACAATGTTCTAATATTATTTTGTTATGAAGTCGATCTGCACATGGAGACATGAAACCAATAACGTTGAGAGTTAGCATTTGTTAGTTTCAACCATGAACCATACTTCTCTATGAGAGTTACCTCCCTAGTGGTAATATGTTTACTCCTCTTGCCTGACACGGCAATTATTTCACGCTGTCCAAAAGTGCTAATATCTCGCTGCACGGAAACTAGGTTAACGTTTCCAGCATAGCGGTTTGTAGACTTGCACAAGTCTCTAAGGCAATAATTATTAGTTTAAATCATGGCTTCCTGTTGATTGTTGCCGAATAACATCAACATGTTTAGTGTAAGAATTTACAGTGAGGAACACATATTTTCATAATTATATATTTATTTCCTATGTACGCGTATCATTATACACATGTGAGACAAACATAAGGTTCTTTTAAAAGTTTGCTTACATCTTTCCAACGATTACTCATCCTCATGGCCCACGTAATTTTCTCAAACACATAACAAATAAAGCCCGGCGCCTGGCGCCATGCAATAACAGTCTTTTCAGCAATATTATATGTGTCATAAATTCTTAAACAAGTTGGATGATAAACATAACTAGGTATCCGAATGAGTGATTGAGTATGTGTGTATATTCTGTATATTCACGTGACAATATATTATGCTGTAGCATTGTGAGGCCATACTTACTATGGCCCATAATACTGAATAAACATATATATATGTCTGTCTGTCACCTCACAATGGGGGGTTCTTTTGAACGCAACAACATGTGGCGTAGACATACCAAGAAAAATATCCCGAAATTTGGAATTAAAACCTGCAATCATCGGGGTATAATATTATAAGTACCAGACGTCTGTGCCACCGGTGCCTCCTTGGTATGAACACGAAATTAATAATATCATTCAGAGTGGATTTTTCATTTGATAGCTGGTGTGTTTGTGAAAGGGAGAGGGCATTGTTTTTGCCAAGATTAAATATTCATAAATACTCTTGAGTCAGCTGTGCAAATACATAAAACCAGATACGATATAATATCTATAAATAATAAATAAATTAATCTATAATATGGTCTCTGATAGAACCAAGAATGATCTCTGAAGGATGTCTATTTTAATAACATTTTCAAAAATCGTTTCAGAATTCCATTCCAACTTTTCTTTGAACCACAACCGGAAGTATACTATTATGGCAGGTGCTTGCTGAGTGCCGGTGTTATTTTGCATGTTGTCACAGAAATGAAGAGTGTGACGATGAATTCTGTGGCTGTGCTTTCAGTGATTGCTTGTTTCATTGTCGTTACATATTGTTATGATTTGTACGAAACACTTGGAGTGGGAAAAGGCGCCAGCAGTCAGGAAATCAGGAAAGCTTACAAAAAGATGGCCAGGGAATGGTAAGTTCGTGATAGCATTATCGTCATATTATGCAATGTTCTCCATTAGCCTATCGCGATGTAACATTCGATTGCGTGAGCGAGGTGAAAAGCAAGGAATTTCTCGTGATGCGAGAAAAATCCAAATCTCCTTGTGTTTTTTTGTTGCAATTAGTAGGATTATGATGAATATGAGAAAATGAATAAGACTTCAACATCCAAAGATCCCACTGGCAAAAATTTTCACTACCAATTTAGATTACGCTTTTGAATATATTGTATCCATGTAACTGTGTAAACTACATCATTGACGGTGTAACCTATATGTGTAAATTTAATAATACTAAGCATGCTAAGTGATAGACCTATGTCTAAAGGGAAGTTTAACAATGCTCCAACTCGTTTCGCCGATAAACATTTTAATTTGCCCGCATAATCACCTGATGCCAGTTAGCATCAACTACCCAAAAAACTGGAGTTCGGACTAGCGAGGGGGCAACTGGGGGACCTTGTTGACAGCGAAGGGGAATATCCCTTGAGTCCTCACACTTGATTAGATGATTCTTACTGGAACCTTTCACCGTGCAAAATCTGTCTGCTTGTGTAGATATGTATGTTCAATTATGTAGTTAAGTACATAGCAAATACGCTCATTTTATTTTTGCAACAAAGAAGTTCAGCATGTTCAGTTCAAATGCTCAAAACAGCAAGGACCCATATTTTTCCGGCAAATTGCATGATACAATAATTACTGCTCCCATCTTGGGAGCACCTTTAGAATACAGTAGCACAACTTCTCGTGAGCACGATCTCTGCTATAGGTCACATGTCGCAAAGACAAGCAACCAGCAATAGTGAGAATCTGTCGGACGCAACTTGCGACCTTCGTATTGTTAGCCCGACAGCTAACTGACTGAGCTGCGTCCACACTGTGAAACAAAGAGCAAATTTACCTGGTCATGCCTACGACATTACGGAACTGAACAAAAAGGGTGGAATGGGTGATGGACACTTACAAAGGTTACGGGTAGGCATGGTGTCTAGTGACTTTAGTCTACGAACACTTACGAATGATCACGATGCCATTTGGCACACTCATCCCATTCCGTAATCTACAAGAAACCGAGTGGCGGAGGAATGATCTGATATGGCGCGAACTGAAAACGGCTCCAGACGTCGAACTCGCGAGCGCGCATCAATGACATGGTATTTAAAAAATCGTTGGGTGGATTTTGTGACAGAAAAGTGTGGTAGGGAACACTGTAAGGATGATGGGGATAATAGTAAGGAAAGAGTTCGGGGTAACCTACCCTAACACTGGCGACATTTGGAAGTGTTCAGCACCAATATAATATCCCTAATAAACTGCATTCTTGTGCGTAATAATGAAAATTAAGGAACCAAAAAAATAATATATGTATATTAGTTCCCATTTATAACCATGATAACCATTTTAGCCACTTGAATTATGAGAAAAACAAAATAAAGAATATATAAAAAATAAAAGTGCTTTCATAAACTAGCGTTTGCTATAAAATGAGCTGCCGCAGGCTATTTTTAGTAAACAAATATTCAAAACTCTCAACACCGCTGGGCGTATTCAAAGACATTGCTGTGTGGAGATGATAGATCACTGGGAGGAGCTTATGCACACTTAATGACCCCTGACGTCACAGGGCATTGTTTTGCCTGTTTGACTAGCAACAAAATGCTACAAATTACGTTATAGTGTATTGTCACGTGTTTGAAAGGTTTGTGGTACTGTATTCTAAAGGTAGGACCCATCTTGCTTTCCATGTTTCATGTTATAAAGATACACCTGTGTATATGTCGTCATAAGCTTGATGCTCAGTTAACAAATTTATTACAGGTATAATAAGTAGCAGAACCACTCAGATTACCTGACAAGGACTATACAAAATAACCGTGATAACTCAATAAAAGTTCACCAAGCCTCTGAGGGTGTCAAGGATATATTGCAATCAGCGGTTCGCATTAGCCATTTCTCGTTGTCTGGGGGAATTATTCAATCTAAGATTGGGTTATAAATCCAGGTCTGATGTGGTGAATGTGTTACATGTTATGAAATGTTAAGTGGCAGCGCAACAGGAGAGGAATGGTCAGTTGAGTTGCAAAAAATATCGTTCAAATGATTAACCGATTATAATGGGTCGTCAAAACGCACCTGTACAAAGGACCATGGTACAAAGTCCTGAATGCTTTCCATGCTGATCACACCTGCAAGTCCAGACAGACGCCACCCACACAACACGGTGTCTTTGTTTTTTGCGATTGCATCATAGGCCGACACGAGCCAGCGAGCATGTGTTGTTTTAGCGAAAGTACTCTACTCAGCGCTAATGAGAGCTGTTATTTGGTGTGTGATTGGATTAATGTAAGGTTGGATTAAGGTGAGGATTCTCCTGTAAACCTAACAGAGGACATTTTCTTTAGATATAAATCCACTGATGCTTGAGAGGAGGGGGTGTCACATTCATATTGAGTTGCATTTTGGGGTAGGGGCCGCGGTCACATTCTTTTGGAGATGCATTAATTTCACGATATACAGTATTCCTAACTGTTTCAGTTCGGGGTCGACATCTCTGCATTCAGTTTCTGGAATTCTCTCAAAATATTCCTGGCCAGTTTGGCTAGCTAACCTTAAAAGTTACATGCCAGTTTCAAATTTCACTAACCATGGAAACTGCACTGACCATTTTATTTGTTCATGCTCCCGTATTTGCTTCTGTTTCTCTTCATCACTCAATTTGCACTTAAGATATGGACCAGTCACAAGGTGTGCTGTTGTGACATTTTGAATGGGTTACAGATTCAGGGTCAGAGTTCAACTGTCAAAATAGAAGTGAAACCATTCATTGTCCGCGCAATATTTGACGTAAGTTGGTTATGTAACAAGGCTTCTGATTGGTTAAACTGCAAATCAAAACATGTTTTTTATATGGAGTGTTACGATCACTCAAACAAGAAGAAGGGGTGACTTTAATCTCACGACCTCGATTATTGATATTTCTTTGAGTTTTGATGGTTGTATTGATGTACAGAAACGGGAGAAATTTTTCAAGAGATGTGTAAAAAGGTCACCGTTAATATTTCAGTGGGCTGTCGGGCTAGGGACATTTTATTAAATTAAGATATTTCAGAATCTTTGCTATAAGCCACAGGCTATTGGGCAGGCAGCTATTTTGCCCACTGTCTGGATTGGGTGTGTCTCCACCAGTATCGCGGTGATGTCTTGTTGTGAAAATGAGTCGTATTCCATGATCATGTTAACAAGAAGTGTACAATCATATTATTTTAGATAGATTGATACGCAGCAGTTCAAGTGTATGAAAAGGCTTCTTTTACCAAACTGTTTGTTGATTTGAATGATTGACATTTGTATCAATTAATGAAAATAGTTGCCGCATGACAAGCTCTAATTTGGAAATCAGCCACAGTAATTATTTCTTGTCTTGTCATGGTCTGGGTATTTGTTCAATCAGATTATTACTAATGACTAATGTACTGTTGTAGTCATCATGATGAAAATTCCTTTAACAAGAACAGTTACCATAGTTACACTAACAGTGTAGCAAGTGAAATATACAGTAACCATGGTACCTGCAGTTGATTCAGTGCCAGAGTTCTAATTTATATTTCCTTGTTTTATACACGTCCTTGCAAAGAGGAAAATAGTTTCTTTCACTTTTTTAAAGATTAATTTCCTTAATCATCATAAGCATGATTAGGGCTTTGTATTTAGAAAAATGTGTGTTGCAATATATTGCGCTACAGGTATCTTTATTGTGTTACATATTGCGAAATATTGGGAGCTGAAGTGTTTGATTGATGTTAATTGTACTTTTTCTACATACTAAGTAAAAATCGCTGACTAAGGTATTTGAAGTATGCAAATACAGTGATATAAGTGAGTTAACGCTTGACAGAAAAATCCCTTTCTGATGTACACAGAAATTCTGTGAACAGTTTAGCTTAAGCAATACGTACACTTTGAAAAGTGTATTGCAGTATACCAGTACACTGGTTGTACCATGCAAGCCTAGTCCTCATTGATCATGTCAATCCGTGTTATTACCGCAAACCAATTTCGAAATATTTGTTTCAATAAAACTTTAATAGAAAAGGAAATTGATAAAATCAATTCATTTCAATCAACAGATTAAATAGCATTTTTCATAATTTTTAAAACAAATTTGCAAAATTTATTCGTTTGCCCTGACCTACCCATGATCCAACTAAAACATTTAAATAATATGATTAACATAATAAAATGGAGAACATGTACATTGACGTGGGTATATCTATTTTTGAGTCTATGGGACTCTTGGTAGTAATGTTTGGGGGGTCCACCAGGCTGGTGGCAGGATTCCCTTGATCATGTTGGTTTCCAAGAATTTCAGGGGCGGTCAGGTAGCCAAGTGGTTAAAGCGTTTGCTCATAAAGCCAAAGACCCGGGTTTGATTCCCGACATGGGTACAATGTGTGAAGCCCATTTCTGGTGTCCCCCGCCGTGATATTGCTGGAATATTGCTACAAGCGGCGTAAAACCGTACTCACTCACTCACTCCAAGAATTTGACTGATACAGTGATCATGGTGTTGATGTAAGGTGGTTGCACTTGTTCAGGAGCCTCAAGTCTATTACGGTATGCATGGTGAAGATGGGGACTTCCATGGTAGACTGAAGAGAATCAAATGCTCAAACAGAGATGTTTATGTCTTATAAGAAAGGAAATGTCAGATATTTGTACCATGTGATATACAATTTTAATTAATGATTCAAACACCCATCTGTTTGGACTCAGATTGCAAATTATTCGTGTCCATTCTCAATTCTGTCAACATTCATGTGTATATGACTCATTGTTTTGCTTCCACTAGATAACCATGATAACATATTTTATATAAACCTACCGTCACTTTTGACAATAGTATTGTCAGTATTTTGCTGTCTCATAGAAACCTTGTGTGAAGGTACAACAAGTGTGTGTTTTTACATCTGAATTGTAAAGCGTGCTAGGAGGTTTTACGGTGAATATAAGACCTGCTAGGCAGTTTTGTTACAAGAGATGCTCAGCTAAAAGATAGATGCCATAAAACAATTTTTGCAAAGTAAGGCCCCTTAATTCTTGTTTTACTGAGTGAAGAGTGGTTAAAATGGGGATAAGATGTCTCAGAAACTATTGATGCCGTAAGTTTTCTTTTCTCTGGACTGCCCCACCCCTTTCTCTATGTATTGTAATGTGTCCCATATCGGGGAATAGTGATAACGCTGTTTACTTGTTTTATAATCATGATAATATTTCATATTTCTGTTTGAAGTCAATAGATGTTTGTCAGCATAGTGAGAGTTAGCATTTATGGCAGTGATTTTTTATATTTATCAACATTTTACATGTATGTCACCATGATCACATTGATCCACACTGTTTTCCAGGCATCCAGACAAGAATGACGCCCCAAATGCTGCTGACGTATTTACGAAGATAAATGAGGCTTATGAGGTGAGTTCCTGACGAAGTGATCAGCAAAGATAATTACAACATATCATCCTTGGAGGTGTCAGCTGATGGAATGCATGTCATCCTTACAGAAAACGTTTTTAGATACCAGGGTTTTCTTTTGATGCAATGTGTTCACTTATAACATTTTTTGTGAGTTTTTTAGCTCACCTGACTGAAAGTCAAGAAAGTTGAGGTCATGTCCTGTGTGTCAGGCGTCTCTACATAAACCATTGAACCAATGAAGTTGAGACCTGTTCCCACCTGTTCCACTAATTTGTTCAAGAGGTTTGAATCTGATTTTCAATATGGCCACCAAGACAGCCATATTGAAAACACTATTTATGGCCATTACTCAGTCATATTAGTTCAAAATGGAATGAAATTTGGTATGTTTAGTGGTGGGGCACAACAAATAAGTTCCGTTTTTTGTGTGATATTTTACATTTTGACCTTATGTGGATTTGGGGTGGTCGGGTTCGCTCATCAGGTCAAAGACCCGGGTTCAATTCCCTACATGGGTACAATGTGTAAAGCCCATTTCTGGTGTCCTCTGCCATGATATTGCTGGAATATTGCTAAAAGCGGCGGACAACCATACTCACTCATCCATGTGGATTAGTCCTTTGCATTTACAGTGTTCACCATGTTCACTGGAAGCTGAACCTTCTCATGGCCATTAGTCAGCCATCTTCTTTCAGAATGTAATAAAATTTGGTATATGTAGTGGGGCTCTAGATTTGTGCCATTTTCGTGTTGTACTTTTTGTTCTTTGTTTGACCATTGCAGTATTTACTCTTTTCACTTCACATGACCATAATGACACTCTTCAAATTAAATTCAGCATTCTTAGGGCTAAAACAAAAAAATCTGACTCTGCAGAAATGGTAAGTTAGCCTCTTTCTTGAAGGTACATGTATTTATCATGATAAGTTTTTGTAGACCTATGCCAATACATGACCGCGTTTAGCTTTATGAATACTGAACAATTCCTGCTGCATCACAGTGTATGTCCACAAGGTCTTCCCAGTGACGCAGAACAATGAGGGCCTCTGAAGTCCGGGGTAGAATAGGTCTTCAGCAACCCACACTTGCCGTAAAAGGCGACAATGCTTGTCGTAAGAGGCGACTAACAGGATCGGGTGGTCAGGCTCGCTGACTTGGTTGATGCATGTCATGGATCCCAGTTTCATGGATCGATGCTCATGATGTCAATCACTGGATTGTCTGGCCCAGACTCAATTATTTACAGACTGCCGTCATATAGCTGGAATATTGCTGAGTGTGGCCTTTAACAACAAACAAACACTTTCTTTTGATTGTGTTTCAGACTTTGAGTGACCCAGAGAAGAGAAGCACCTATGACAACTATGGCTATACTTCGGCCAGTAACAACGAGGGTCGCAACCACAATTTCCGCCAACAGGGGTTCGCTCCCTTTGACAACTTCTTTGGAGGGGGAGGAGGTGGTGGAGGATTCCGATTTTCTTTTGGTGGCGATTCCATCATTGAAAAACATCGAATTACTCTACGGTGAGTTTCTGGGCTGTTGCCTTGGTGATGTCCAGGGCACCATTCCACACAGCGATCTTACGCTTTTTGGCTGTCGTAAGCCTAGGTTAAAGTATGGGAGTTACGATCATCTTAGAGCTATGACTATAATAAGCTTATGTTAAAGTATGGGAGTTACGATCATCTTTGAGCTATGACTATCATAAGCCTATGTTAAAGTTGGGGAGTTACGATCATCTTTGAGCTATGACTATCATAAGCCTATGTTAAAGTTTGGGAGTTACGATCATTTTAGAGCTATGACTATCATAAGCCTAGGTTAAAGTATGGGAGTTACGATCATCTTAGAGCTTTGTAGAAAACACAGGCCCCTGGTTTATGTGTTGGCCCATATCTTATACCATATGTTAATATTTTTTTATTATGAGTGGGTTTTTCTGTGGACATGGTGGAAGGCCTCGTTACGGTTGCGTTGCTGGAGATGATGCCATGTGTGTCTTCAAGCCAGGTGTAGAACAAAACAATGGGAAGGCAAATAACATGAACAACAGTGTCCATTTTAATGTTACCAGATCTCATTAATGAGATTATCCAGTCATGATTGTTGTCTTCCTCAGTTTGTAACCACGGTAACGATAATTTACTCTATTTCAGCAATTTTGAGACGAAGGTGGTGCCGGAGAGTTTCACTCGGCCATGTTTTATGTACGTCTACACCAGTTTCTGCTTCGACTGCCTGAGGATTGAGCCGTACATTGAGAAGATCATCATGGAGCTACAGAGCGTGGGTGAGTATATCCGGGTCATGTTCCGCTCTCAATGCAATCATTTTAGGAAGCTGACATCTGATTGGCTGAGCACATTCTTAAAGTATATTATTCATGTTAATCGGTCAAAGGTCACTCAGGGGTCACCTGGTGTGATATTCCAAGGTGGATTTGTCAGACGTTCAAAGGTCGTATTGGCATAAACTGTCTGATTTTAGTCAGATTGGGGTTTAACATAAGAAGTAGTCTTTTAAGACTGGCATCACTGGCTCTCCTCCCTTTGAGACTGCCTCCGTGGTCTTGTGGTAGAATGGAAGGTCCGGGGTTAGATCCCCGACTGCGTCATACCAAAAGACATTAAAAGGGGCTAAAACAAGGACTAGTTTATCTCGGAGTCAGTATACTGTGTCTGAGTATTTATGTTAAACTGCGGCATGGTATCTCAGTGAGCTGGCACTATAAATCGGCATCAATCCATGCTAGTACAGGCCGCCACACACACACATGGATGCACCTCACTATATAAGTGCAATAATCTTAAACCCAATTTCACCTCACCTCCTCCTGATGACGACCCACATCTGACCCACGGCTGATCATCCTTGATGTTTCAGTGAACTGCATCTCCATTCCTATTATGATATACAACATGGACCCCACTATAGCGTTATCTGGAGTCCACTTCAAATGAAACATCACTGAAAATAATTGTCCGATCAAATTCACTGTTCTTTCTTGACTGAAAAAATGTCTTTATGACCAGTCCCTGAAGGCTGAAGGATCACCCAAACTATACAGAGAAAGAGGCTTCAATGTTAGTTTAACATTACTGCATTAATGAAGTGTTACAATTCAATGTTAAAAACCCTCGGAAAATAAGAACTTTTTAAAGAATGTCAATTCTGAAGTGATGATTTGCCTGCCAAGGGTACTTTGTTTGCTTGCTTTGCTGGTTGTGATGTGGCCCCTTCCATCCACCTCCTCATTCTGCGTCTTCCACCCCACACTCTACGTCTTCTGCCCCCAGAGGGGGCACGGGTGGCCCAGTCTAAGGCGCCGTGATTCACTGTGCAGAGTTGTGTCCCGTGGGCACGCCAGAAACCTATGATTGTGGGTTTGAATCCTGGTCCGCCCCAATTATGTTTCTAGGTTTGTCAGCACCATACCCTTGCTCATGGGTTTCACCGAAGTGGTAAACATCTGAGACCTGCATCACTTCGGGCTTTCCTCCCACATTAAGCTGACATTCCGTGATATAACTGGAATACTGTTAAAAGCGGTGTTAACCCAAACTCACTCACACTCACTCTGCCCCCAGAATCTGCGTCTTCCACCCCTCAGTCTGCGTCTTCACCCCCCTCACTCTACGTCTTCCCCTTCCACCCACAGGTCTGTGTGTTGGAGCAGTTCATGACATGCACAGTCAGGGTGTGGTCAGTCACCTCCGGATCAGCCACGCCCCTGCCATCCTTGGCATTGTCAATGGCCGACCAGTGCACTATAAAGGCGGGATCAGCATGAACATGCTGCGAGAGTTTGTCCGAGGCTGGTTCCCCAAGAACACTCTCCATACGGTAAGTCATTTGAGGCTGAAGGAATTCTATATTTCAGTCAGGTGTGTTTCATCTATTTCCATTCAAAGAAAGGTGCCACTGGTAGTCCAGTCAACTGAAGGGATGTTTTTTGCTTGGGGGGAGGTGGGGGGAATTCAGGGTCAGAATAGGTCTATTGGATGGTCATGCTCGATAACTTGTTTGATTGTGTGTCATCGTACCCCAACAGTTTGACATGATGCTCACATTATCAAAACTGGTTTGTCTGACCTTGGCTTGATTATTTCTGACCGCCTCTGTGGTCTAGTGGTAGAGCGTCAACCCGGAGAGCGGAAGGTCCGGGGTTCGATCCCCGGACGCGTCATACCAAAAGACGTTAAAAGATGGTACTTGTTGTTACCCTGTCTTGCGCTCAGCATTAAGGGGCTAAAACAAGGACTGGTTGGCTCGGAGTCAGTATACTGTGTCTGAGTGGGGTATTCATGTTAAACTGTGGCATGGTATCTCAGTGAGCTAGCACTATAAATCAATCCGGATTAGTACAAGCAGCCACACAAACACACACACGTACATGCACGTCGCTATAAAAGTGCAATAATCTTGGACGCAACGTTAAATCCCATTTCACCTCACCTTGATTATTTCTCAGTTGCTTTGATATACATGTAGCTGGAATATAACCGTGATAACAAGCTCTGTTGTAAAAACTGAATCTACAGAACTGGATCACAACATTGTATTGTGCAGGTTAATGACAAAAACTACGATGAGTTCCTGAGTGGCTGGGCGGACAACAGGGTGCGAGCTATCTTCTTCTCCCAGAAAGATCAGCCATCTGCCCGGTTCCTGGCGCCAGCGTACTACTACCGGGAGTACGTGAAGAGTGGCTACGTCAACACACACTCACCGGGGGCAGCTCGGATCATGAAGATGTTCGGCGTCAATCACAACCGAGAAACACTCCTCATGTTCAACGAGGAGGTTTCTTCTCCTGTGGCCTCTGTTGCTGTAAGTATTACTGTAGATGTCATTGTTGCTGTAAAAATGTATAACAGTGGATACATATTCTGTGGATCGATGCTCATGATATTAATCACTGGATTGTGTGGTCCAGACTCTATTATTTACAGACCGCTGTCACATAGCTGGAATATTGCTGAGTGCAGTGTTAAACAACAAACCAACCAACTGTAGCAACATTTACTGTACAGATTACGGTAGAACAGGGATAGATTTAGCAACAAATTTGTATGTAGCCAGCAGGGATTGCTCCTCTTGAAAGTTATTGGCCCTTTTCAAAGCTAGCTTGCCTACAACTAAATGTTAGAGCTCCTCACCCCTGCGACGTTATTTCCTGCCCTCTGAGATTAAATCTTGGCTTCCATTTGCCTCATTTCATGGGGATTTATGAGCAAATAAAGAAGTTGTTGTACACAACATGACAAAATGGCGTCCGGTTGTCTTTCTACTGAGATGATCCAATGAAGCAAATTAAGTATACACGGAGAAGGGGTGAACTTTTGACTAGCCAGATGGGCCATCTACTTTACAATTCAGCAAGCCCTTTGTATTTCAAACTGGCCACGGGCCAACAGGCCAGCAGGTAAATCGCCCCTTGTAGAAACATATAATTTATGTTTCATAGTGTGATGACAGTCAAAACAGGAATTTATGGCTATGATTTAATTGAGGTAAAGCTTCCATAATTCTGTCGATGAAGGTGAATTTAATGTTGGTTAAATGTTAGTCCACAAAAACCTGTTATTGATGGTCATTGTTGGACACCGGTGTGCACCGGAAATGTGACTCCATATCAATGCGACTCCCCCCACCCCCTCCCCAGTGGAAATAGCACCGCTTATTAACACTGAGAAAAGCACTTCTGTAAAAACAATAAACAATGTTTTCCTAAAAATCAACACACAGTTTATATGTTTACTCTGTTGACTGGCATTAAGGATGTTCCAAGGGAATAAAATAATTGAACCAACAACCATGACAACAGTACACTGATTGGTATGCGCAGAAGGTGTCAACAAGCTTGACACAAGTGGGTAGAACTCTTGACCCAAGCAGTGATAACCTCGCTGGATGCATATTGTGTAATTCCTATTGTTATACTTGTTACAACAACTGCTCAATATACCGTGTTTGTGTTATTATTCAAGTTGGTATTTCCGCAAGTGTGCAGTGAGGCCATCTTTTTGTCCATAGTCATTTTGGAGACATAAATGCGAAGTTAATTAATGCAAGCAAAGACCACTCACATTTTTCGCATTTTATTCACGGTTGCGTTAATTTCAAGATTTACCGTACTTATATCATGTGTTTGTTTCTGTTTTCCGATACTCATAGGATGTGTTTGTTTCTGACAGATGCAGCAGTTACCGAGGAAGACATTGGATGAAGTGATCGAGTCCAACAAGTTTCTGCTGCTGCCACGACTGTCGTCACAGAAGTTCCTGGACACGCTTTGCCCAGCAGAACCCAAGCTAAAAAGAAGGAAGTAAGAACTACTTTATCTTCCAATAAACCTGTCTGATGAACTTGGTACCACCATCTGAGGTCACCAAACAGGAACTCATTTTGAGATCCATACATCATCTCAAATGTCCCCCGAGTTTATCCTTAATTTGGATATCAACATGTTCAAATTCTAGAAATTTTGTACCAAAATTAATAATTCAGTCTTCATGTTTTCAGATGATAATGTACTTATTAAGTTACGCCAACTTAAGAAATTATTCCTGTTTTCAGATTTTGTGTTGTCTTGGTAACCAAACAGTCGGTTGACCATGACCCCCATAGGGTATCCTTCAGGAATTTTGCACAGTCCAAGAAGTTCTCTGATGACAAGGTTAAATTTGTGTACATTTACGAGGACACCCAGCACAAGTTTATCAGCACTCTCACCAAGGGCAATGTCACCAGGAAGGAAAGCACAGTTGAGGTAACTTTCGGGGATTTCTATTGTCAACATATCACAGGCTTGTAATTTGTTTACAATATGTTGCTCCCTCACCCATGAATACATACAATCTTACTGAAATCTTGAGGACATCCCATTAGGTCACGTCTGAACGACCTTTCATCAGATCAGTTGGAAACTGTTTTTTAATTTTGCAACTTCAAACGTGGTATTCCAAACAACAGTTACAGGCTCATAGTCTATCTCTTGCTTCAATCGAAATTTTGAAACTTTCCATAGCCCATGATAAGTACTGCCATACAATCTCGGCCATCTCTTTTCTTATATCTTTCACATCAATTATTTTAGTGGCCATTATGTGCTATAATGTTGCCATCTGCAGTGCTAGTGGCCATTATTTATATGCTTTAATGTTGCCATATACTGTCTGAGTGGCCATTATCATGATTATGTGCTATAACGTTGCCATACACTGTGTGAGTGGCCATTATCCGGATTATGTGCTATAATGTTGTCATCTGCAGTGCAGGTGGCCATTATTTATGTGCTATAATGTTGCCATACACTGTGCGAGTGGCCATTATGTGCTATATGTTGTCATCTGCAGTGCAGGTGGCCATTATTTATGTGCTATAATGTTGTCATATACTGTGCGAGTGGCCATTATGTGCTATAATGTTGCCATCTGCAGTGCAGGTGGCCATTATTTATGTGCTATAATGTTGCCATACACTGTGCAAGTGGCCATTATGTGCTAAAATGTTGCCATACACTGTGCGAGTGGCCATTATGTGCTATGTTGCCTTCTGCAGTGCAGGTGGCCATTATTTATGTGCTATAATGTTGTCATATACTGTGCAGGTGGCCATTATGTGTTATATTGTTGCCATCTGCAGTGCAGGTGGCCATTATTTATGTGCTATAATGTTGCCATATACTGTGTGAGTGGCCATAATGTGCTATATTGTTGCCATCTGCAGTGCAGGTGGCCATTATTTATGTGCTATAATGTTACCGTCTACACTGCAGGTAACCATTATTTATGTGCTATAATGTTGCCATATACCATGATACAGTCAAGTCTCGTTAATCCGACATCGTTGGTTGCACATGATTGTGTCGGATTAACGAGTATGTCGGATTAACGAAATTAAGTGATTTGTGATCGAAAATCGGACGTCTTCACGATAGATAATCACCGTGTGTACCTTGTAATAAAATCATTAAAAACGAAATATTAATATTGTTATGTTGTTTATTCATTCATTCCTTAATCTATAATTAATGACTATGCAAAAATAATAATAATTTTCCCATTTATGCATAACAATAGAGACATTACTCACTGAATTTATCACATGATCAACGACACACGTTTCCTCGTGTAAATGCAAGTGCTACTGTCTTAACAACTTGCTTCATCCACTTAAAATAGTCTGTCAGTGCGTGTCAAAACACGGGGTTGTGTACTCGTGGTCAGATGACCACAGAGTACGCTGATCACTGTGTCGGATTAACGAGACTGATTAATGAGTGATTTCGGCAATTCGTTGCAAATTAGGTGTGTCGGAGTCGGAGTGTGAGAATGTCGGATTAACGGGACTAAATAGCACTGAATCAATCGGTTCCCATCATTTGTGTCGGATAAAGCCGAGTGTCGGATTAACGAGTGTCGGATTAACGAGACTTGACTGTATACTGTCCGAGTGGCCATTATGTGCTATGATGTTGCCATCTGCAGTGCAGGTGGCCATTATTTAAGTGCTATAATGTTGCCATTCACTGTGCAAGTGGCCATTATGTGCTATAATGTTGCCATACACTGTGTGAGAGGCCATTATTTATGTGCTATAATGTTGCCATATACTCTGAGAGTGGCCATTATGTGCTGTGATGTTGCCATCTGCAGTGCAGGTGGCCATTATTTATGTGCTATAATGTTGCCATACACTGTGTGAGTGGCCATTATGTACTATAATGTCATCTGCAGTGCAGGTAACCATTGTTTAAGTGCTATAATTTTGTCATATACTGTGCGAGTGGCCAATATGTGCTATAATGTTGCCATATACTGTGCGAGTGGCCATTATTTATGTGCTATAATGTTGCCATATACTGTGTGAGTGGCCATTATGTACTATAATGTTGCCATCTTCTGTGCAGGTGGCCATTATGTATTTGCTATAATGTTGCCATATACTGTGCGAGTGGCCATCATATGGTTTAATGTTACTATCTACTCTGCAGGTGGCCATTATTTATGTGCTATAATGTTGCCATATACTGCATGTACTGTGCAGGTGGCCATCATGTGGTACAATGTTATTATCTACTGTGCAGGTGGCCATCATGTGGTATAATGTTACTATCTTCTGTGCAGGTGGCCATCATGTGGTATAATGTTACTATCTACTGTACAGGTGGCCATCATGTGGTATAATGTTACTATCTACTGTGCAGGTGGCCATCATGTGGTATAATGTTACTATCTACTGTGCAGGTGGCCATCATGTGGTATAATGTTACTATCTACTGTGCAGGTGGCCATCATGTGGTATAATGTTACTATCTTCTGTGCAGGTGGCCATCATGTGGTATAATGTTACTGTCTACTGTGCAGGTGGCCATTATGTGGTATAATGTTACTATCTACTGTGCAGGTGGCCATCATGTGGTATAATGTTACTGTCTACTGTGCAGGTGGCCATCATGTGGTATAATGCTACTGTCTACTGTGCAGGTGGCCATCATGTGGTATAATGTTACTGTCTACTGTGCAGGTGGCCATCATGTGGTATAATGTTACTATCTTCTGTGCAGGTGGCCATTATGTGGTATAATGTTACTTTCTACTGTGCAGGTGGCCATCATGTGGTATAATGTTACTATCTTCTGTGCAGGTGGCCATCATGTGGTATAATGTTACTATCTTCTGTGCAGGTGGCCATCATGTGGAGGATGGACAGCCAGAAGTTGAACTATGAGTTCCTGGAGTCTGGCTGGAGCATCAACAGTGAGCGTGTGGGGGCATCACGGGAACAGCTGGAGGCACGGCTCCACACCCTCCTCACCTCAGACCGACTTCTCCCCTACAAGGCTATCTTCACAGAGCTCTACAATGAACATGCACTGGTGAGGACATCCATCTCTGCTTCAGTACAATGGAGTGTTGAATCTAGGGTATTTTAGTGCCTGTTTTAGCAAAACGCAATCCATGGTCAATTTTATATATCCACAAAGCTTCAGTTCATTTCGTGCAGAGGGTGAAGGGTGCGGAGTGTAGTATGAACATGATGAGGAGAAACAGTTATTAGATGTGCATATCTGGACTTGGCTGTTGTCAACCTCAAGGGGGTTAATGTGCAGATCTGGACTAGGCCCCTGTCTACCTAAAGAGGGTTAATGTGCAGATCTGGACTGGGCTGTTGTCAACCTGAAGGGGGTCAATGTGCAGATCTAGACTGGGCTGTTGTCCACCTAAAGGGGGTTAATGTGCAGATCTTGTCTGGGCCCCTGTCTACCTAAAGGGGGTTAATGTGCAGATCTAGACTGGGCTGTTGTCCACCTAAAGGGGGTTAATGTGCAGATCTGGATTAGGCTCCTGTCTACCTAAAGGGGGTTAATGTGCAGATCTGGACTTGGCTCCTGTCTACCTAGTGAGGTTAATGTGCAGATCTGGACTAGGCTCCTGTCTACCTAAAGGGGGTTAATGTGCAGATCTGGACTGGGCTCCTGTCTACCTAGTGAGGTTAATGTGCAGATCTGGACTAGGCTGTTGTCAACCTCAAGGGGGTTAATGTGCAGAACTTGACTGGGCCCCTGTCTACCTAAAGGGTGTTAATGAGCAGATCTGGACTAGGCTGTTGTCAACCTAAAGGGGGTTAATGTGCAGATCTAGACTGGGCTGTTGTCCACCTAAAGGGGGTTAATGTGCAGATCTGGACTAGGCTCCTGTCTACCTAAAGGGGGTTAATGTGCAGATCTGGACTGGGCTCCTGTCTACCTAGTGAGGTTAATGTGCAGATCTTGACTGGGCCCCTGTCTACCTAAAGGGTGTTAATGTGCAGATCTGGACTAGGCTGTTGTCAACCTAAAGGGGGTTAATGTGCAGATCTAGACTGGGCTCCTGTCCACCTAAAGGGGGTTAATGTGCAGATCTGGACTGGGCTCCTGTCTACTTAGTGAGGTTAATGTGCAGATCTGGACTAGGCTCCTGTCTACCTAGTGGGGTTAATGTGCAGATCTGGACTTGGCTCCTGTCAACCTAAAGGGGGTTAATGTGCCGATCTGGACTAGGCTCCTGTCTACCTAAAGGGTGTTAATGTGCAGATCTGGACTGGGCTGTTGTCCACCTAAAGAGGGTTAATGTGCAGATCTGGACTGGGCTCCTGTCTACCTAGTGAGATTAATGTGCAGATCTGGACTATGCTCCTGTCTACCTAGTGAGGTTAATGTGCGATCTGGACTTGGCTCCTGTCTACCTAAAGGGGGTTAATGTGCAGATCTGGACTAGGCTGTTGTCAACCTAAAGGGGGTTAATGTGCAGATCTAGACTGGGCTGTTGTCCACCTAAAGGGGGTTAATGTGCAGATCTGGACTGGGCTCCTGTCTACCTAGTGAGGTTAATGTGCAGATCTGGACTTGGCTCCTGTCTACCTAAAAGGGGTTAATGTGCAGATCTGGACTTGGCTCCTGTCTACCTAGTGAGGTTAATGTGCAGATCTGGACTGGGCTCCTGTCTACCTAGTGAGGTTAATGTGCAGATCTGGACTAGGCTCCTGTCTACCATGTCTACCTAGTGAGGTTAATGTGCAGATCTGGACTTGGCTCCTGTCTACCTAAAAGGGGTTAATGTGCAGATCTGGACTGGGCTCCTGTCTACCTAGTGAGGTTAATGTGCAGATCTGGACTGGGCTGTTGTCTTTCTAAACATGCTGAAAAGGTTTATCTGAAATGTTGAGTTGCTTTCCTAAAGAGGCTGACCGTTTGGTTTTTTATGTTGGCCCTAAAATAATAGGAGTGTTCAATTAGTATGCCTGACTTGCCCGACCTGTGAACATATAGTGTCAGGCAAGTGGGAAAAGTTATTTTAGTTGCCCTTTGGCAAGTATGAAAATTGGCTGTAGTAAGTTTGAAATTTAGAACATGCCTCATGTATTTGTCAACTGCAGATAAAGTATGTGACTAGCCATTTTTCTCTTCTGCACATCTCCCATTATCTGTTGCTTCAGTTATAAAGATTTGTTGTCTAATTGCAGTTTTCTTCTTAATTCTTACTTAGCAGGGCAAGTTAAAAATAAGGCTGGGCAAGTAGCATTTGTAAGCTTATTTGACTGTGGGCAAATAGGAAATTTGGTATTTGAACACCTGTATTTTTGTCCCTCATTTTACACAAGAAATTGTTTGCAGGACATATTGACAACCAGGTCTATCTCCAACAGTCTGAATAGATTTACTAGTCCAGGGCTTACAGAATAGCATCTTGCATATAACTTTAACACATCCATTGTGATTTCAGAGTTTGCTGACAAGGATATTTCACAAGCTCTTTGACTGGGCAGACAGACTCTTCTTTTTTGCTTTTAGGTAAGTGCTGGTAACCATGGTAACTTGTACCACGATGTTCATGCTGGGTATTACCAGAACAGAGAAATCTCAAGTTTCCCATGCTTGTCCCTGTTGGTAGTTCATGAGCAAAAGTGAGTGAGTGAGTGAGTGAGTTGGGTTTAATGCCGCTTTTAACAGTATTCCAGTTATATCACGGCGTGTCAGCTAAATTTTGGATTAAAGCCTGAAGTGATGCAGGACTTAGACGTTTACCACTTCGGTGAAACCCACGAGCACGGGTATGGTGCGGTCTGGTGTGGTCTGGTGTGGTGTGGTCTGGTGAGGTGAGGTACATGTACACAACCTAGTCCAAGATAAATATGTGTGAGATATCAGTTTTAGTTATCATGACATAATGGGATAGCCCATGGAAACCCTGTGCTGGTACAAAATATAAGTGTATAATCATGATGAAGTCTACTTGTCAGTTTGATTAAGAATGACAGAGTAGAAACATCCCTTTGACAAATGTTGAATGTTGTTAATGTACAAGTATTCCAGCCCAAGTATGATAAGATGACATTGCGTGTGCTTCCAGCTATGACGGGATGACGCTGATGACCGTCATGTTCGCTGTCTTGTTCGTCATCCTGGCCGGCTACTCCATGCAGAAGTTGGCCAGTGTGGAACACGACAAGGTCAAGAGGCAGATGGATGCCAAGAAGAGGAACATGCGCCCTCCTTCCAGGTAGGCAGATAACTCACACTGGAATATGGGCAGTAATACTCCAATGGGGGGACAACTCTTTCCATTTACACTGGAAAAAGTTAGTAATACTCCAATAGGGGGACAACTCTGTTGATTTACACAAGAATAAAGGCAGAAATATTCCGTGGATTCGCACTGTTAAATCGGGAGAAATACTCAAATGGGGAGACATCTCTGTGGATTCACGATGTAATATTGGCAGAAATACTCCAATGGGGAGACAACTCTGTTGATTCAAACTGGAATATGGGCAGTAATACTCAAATGGGGAGACTACTCTGTGGATTCACACTATTGTATTGGCAGAACTACTCAAATGGGGAGACTACTCTCTGGATTCACACTCTTGTATTGGCAGAAATACTCAAATGGGGAGACAACTCTGTGGATTCACACTATTGTATTGGCAGAAATACTCAAATGGGGAGACAACTCTGTGGATTCACACTATTGTATTGGCAGAAATACTCAAATGGGGAGACAACTCTGTGGATTCACACTATTGTATTGGCAGAAATACTCAAATGGGGAGACAACTCTGTGGATTCACACTATTGTATCGGCAGAAATACTCCAATGGGGAGACAACTCTGTGGATTCACACTATGGTATCGGCAGAAATACTCCAATGGGGAGACAACTCTGTGGATTCATATTAGAATATCGGCTGTAATGTTGCTGGAATATTGCTGACTATATCGCAATACCAATACCTGTAACACAATATTTTGAGCCATACAAATATTTTACCAATACACAGCCCTATTAACAGAGATTCACTGTCATGTGGATGAAACGTACGTAAAACTATTATCTGTTATTCCAGCACGCCGGACAACCAAACAATCCATCTGTACGACCTGAGGTTCGAGACGTACAAGAATCTGGTGGCTGAGGCAGACACAGGCCTCACCATTGTCATCTTCGTCAACGAGACATCAAAAGAGCAAATGTTGACACGCTTTGCCCAGATCATGCAGCCATATTCCAGGTAGGTTGTGGTTATGATCAGCTTGGAGGATCAAGCAACCCTTTTGTCAGAACAATAGCCAATTGTGTCCCTTAGAAGTGCCAGGATTAAATATCAGTGGGTTGAACTCCAGATTCCTCCTGATGATGATCTTTGTTTTGTTTATCTATGTACTGAACATGTCAGGTGTGTTTAAACTGAACTCACTCGAGGGCTCAAGATTCCTTGTATTAGTGTGGCAGTGGTTAAAGATAATGGCACTTTGACAATTATTATTACACAATTGAAATAAATTCCTTGTGTTTAATCATGTTAATGGGCACACATTAAAAGAAAAGAAAAACTCGTACAGACAGGGGGACTTGCAAATCAGTAAACTGGAACAATACACAGTAAATTAGCATAGGAACATGCTTAATATACAGTAGGACTCACAAAATATCTTTCCTCTTTGGCACAGATAACATACAAAAGTTCCAAAGGGCTCATCTTTTTATTAGTGGCACACTGAAATCTGAAAGTCATCCTTTTCTTCATTGATAAAGATGTCGTTTAAGAAGTTAGAGTTCACTTCACTGTTGATCATGTTGATGAAACTTCCTTTCACAAAAGCGTTTCTAACCGTGCACTGACTGCTACCTCATGTGCTGCAGGTACAGTGCCCTGACCTTCGCCTACCTTCAGCTGGAGTACTACATCAGCTGGTACCAGCACCTTCTGGAGCTCAGCCTAAACTTCAAGGTCAAGCTCAACAACATCAACATCAACAGCTGTGTCGGCACCGTCCTCGCCATCAACGGCTACCGCAAATACTACTACATCTTCCACCCGAAGAAGGCGCGGCAGTGGATGAAGGAACACAATAATCTTTCAAGGGCCATCGGTTTCCTTGACGACGACTCCGATTCCGACAAGGAACAGGACAATATGGACTTCAGTAAGAAATATCTCAGTGGGTTGGCCATGTGGATGGATCGTATATTTGATGGCTCGGCTGTTAAGGTCCGACTAGATTACTGGCCTGAGATGTGTTCATGATGTTTGTGATGTGTACTAGTTTATTCTATTTATTTATGTGATCAAGCATTTACACATAATTGCTCATTACAGAAGAGTAGTTATTTACCTCATTTGTTTTCCTTTTCATATTTCTTAAAACGTTTTTTCTGGTCTTTAAGATGAAAGTATAAACAGATTTTTTCTAGATCAGGGTTAAATATTTTTAGTGTAAATATAGTTAATATTGAAATGGCACTTGAAGACAAGTTGGTGCCTGCAGATCACATTTGGCAATCATGCTTGTGATGATATTTAAGGTTTGAGGCCAGTGATAAATGTACAATTAAATTGGACAAACACAAGGAAATTGATGAACATACTTATGCACAGTGTGATTCACAAATTTAACCTGGAAGTCAGAAAATGAAAAGGATATTATAGATCTCAACAGAACGAAGGAAGAAACTTTCTAAGTTAGATGTTCCTTTTTGGCAAAGTTCCGAAAGGCTCATCTTGAGTGGCTCACTGATATTGGAAAGTAATCTCTCTTCATGGAGAGAGGGAGACCGAGTTAGCTAGGCTTTGAATTCACCGTATTGATGAAACTTTCTTAAACGTTTATTCGGCATTCCATTAAACATGTTAAACGTATAATATGTGATTGATTAATTTGTTTGAGCTGTTGTTGGCAGATTCCTTAATAGGCAATCCACACGACATAATCTGTAATGCAATGTAATATGTGTAAGCTCAGATTATTCAGTATTATGTTGTTATGCTTGTTTCAAGAGATGTGCAGTGTGTTCTTTGAGAGTGAACTACTCTGTGAGAGTGAACTACTAGATCTCCCTTCATTTCACAGCCAGTTGTTACGCTTTTAGCGGAAGTGGAGAGAAAGAACCTTGTCCTAGTCCTAAGGTGACCCTTGTGTCTGTAGGACATGGCTGTTCTTGTCCTAGTATGACCCTTGTGCCCTTGTGTCTACGGGACATGTAGGGCATGGCTATTCTTGTCCTAGTATGACCCAAGTGCCATTGTGTCTACAGGACATGTAGGACATGGCTATTCATGTCCTAGTATGATCCTTGTGTCTACAGGACATGTAGGACATGGCTATTCTTGTCCTAGTATGACCCTTGTGTCTACAGGACATGTAGGACATGGCTATTCTTGTCCTAGTATGACCCAAGTGCCCTTGTGTCTACAGGACATGTAGGGCATGGCTATTCATGTCCTAGTATGACCTTTGTGTCTACAGGACATGTAGGACATGGCTATTCATGTCCTAGTATGACCGGTGTACCCTTGTGTCTACAGGACATGTAGGACATGGCTATTCTTGTCCTAGTATGACCTTTGTGCCCTTGTGTCTACAGGACATGTAGGGCATGGCTATTCTTGTCCTAGTATGACCCTTGTGTCTACAGGACAAGTAGGACATGGCTATTCTTGTCCTAGTATGACCTTTGTGCCCTTGTGTCTACAGGACATGTAGGGCATGGCTATTCTTGTCCTAGTATGACCTTTGTGCCCTTGTGTCTACAGGACAAGTAGGGCATGGCTATTCTTGTCCTAGTATGACCCTTGTGTCTACAGGACAAGTAGGACATGGCTGTTCTTGTCCTAGTATGACCTTTGTGCCCTTGTGTCTACAGGACATGTAGGGCATGGCTATTCTTGTCCTAGTATGACCTTTGTGCCCTTGTGTCTACAGGACAAGTAGGACATGGCTGTTCTTGTCCTAGTATGACCCTTGTGCCCGTGTGTCTACAGGACATGGACATTCTTGTCCTATTTTCGTGTGCCAGTGCTTCCTCATTTTCATGATTTGTATTTGAAGAAAACTTGATAAATGTTAGACAGATGTGCAATATTGTAGTGTAGTCAACATTTCAGGTTTAATTACAGTGGTTCTAACTCAGGCATGTAATTATATGATGCATCAGCAAGGACTAAACATGACTTTATGTTCCTTGTAGTTGGACATAGAAATCCACAGTTTCAAGTGGCTCGAGAAAGGCAGTCCATACTCACTACCTACAATAGTTTAGTATTGTTAGCCCTATCTATTTGAGATGCTTAAGAAGTCTGTCAGCCATTTGAACGCCTGGATGTAAAGACGTGTGATATGTATAGGAAGTTCATTATGTTCCGTGTTGTGAATATTGTCTCTTAAAAATGTCCTGAAGTATGTCCTCAGTCTCTCAGTAATGCCACTTGAATCACGCAGAGCTAACATGAGTGACGGCCTTATCAAATGCAGAGCAAGGACAATGTTTTGCCAAAGTAGAATGTCTTAAGTGATCGGCCCTGATCTTGATGATTAGTCGCTATATGGCCAAAATAATGCTGATGCAATGTTAAATTTTCATTCTCTCACTCACCGATAATTGATCATCAAATACTTCAAGGTCATCACGTAATTGAAGTAGGTGTCCTACCGGAGGTCAGGATTAATGACATAGAACTTAGGGCTGTAGTGAGCTTAAGTATCTATGCATTGAGATGCTTTGGGTTTGAGCCGCATCATGTTTCGTATCGCGATCACAGGCTTGTTAAGTAAGTTTCTTGTTTCTCTTTACCACATACCCCTAATACTACCCCTGACCCCTGACCCCTAATACTACCGCTGACCCCTAATACTACCGCTGAGCCCTAATACTACTGCTGACCCCTGACCCCTAATGCTACCGCTGACCCCTGACCCCTAATACTACCGCTGACCCCTAATACTACCGCTTACCCCTAATACAATCTCTGATTCCATTTTAAATTAATTTTAACCACTTTTAACAACTGAAATAACTTGTGATACTCAAATTCCGTGTTAGGATTCCATCTTTTGCACACACCATGACATTTTTAGTGTGCCAGACTTGCAGGGGATTGTAGCAGTGGTAACCATGGTCACAGCCTGTCTCATGTTCAGTCGCAGGAAGCCCTGAAGAGGCCACATGGTACATAAGAATTAAGTTTATTTTTGTCGATTTGTAACTTTAATATGAAAAGAGAAAATCCTCCCCCTCTAACCTGTCAGTTTTGAAAAAGGTAGTGAGAAACATGAGTATGTTTTAACAGGCCTTACTATCAAGATACAGAGACAAAGTGTTAGTTAAGCCCCAGAGCTGGTGGTATGTATCCTGATGTGGGCGGCTGAGATTGTGACCATCTGCCCAAATGTACAAGATGAAAGACTTGTGTGTCTTCGGTATTAATGTGTTGTCAGCAGGTCCTGACAAGCAAGTTCAGGCTGTCTCCTTTGTGTCATGGTATAACTGTATGTACATTTGTCTCTCCAAAATGTGAACACATTTCCTACCATGCCAACATTCCTATGATATATTACTCAATGTCCCACTGCCGGATGTTTGCTTGTAGACAACTGTTACAAAGACCTACAGTCCAACCTTGTTGTCCTAAACTCGGATGAGTTGAATCCCTGGTTGGGTTGAACTCACAATCCTGTCCATGTTAAACTCTAACTGTATTTACCATAGTCGACGTCATAAGCGTCCCGCTTTAATAAGTGCCCACGGCAATATTTGCTAATATATTGGCTTATGAAAAATCCCAATTAGCACCCATTCCGATGGATCAATGTACGCAAGACTTATTTATTCGTGTATTATATGTACTCGTGTGTTATATGCAATTATATTCTGGAAAAATATATTTGTCCTACATAAACATTTCAGGCTGTCAGCATAAACCATGAAATTTATCTTTCAACTCAATCTTTCAATTTTTTTCACCAAAATAATATTCTAATAAGAGCCCCTATTTCTAATTTTGAGAGCCCTGTGGGCGCTTTTTACATCAAATGCGCTATAAGTTATTTCAAACTGAATATGTCTACCTTGACGTCTCGAACTGTCTCGGACTTAATTTGTAGTCCCAAGAGTTAAAATAAATTTAACATGTTATGGGTCGAACTCAATTGTTTCTAAAACCACAAGAATTTATGTTAACCCAAACTTTTAGCGGTCACATGATTGTCATTATTATTCAAATGATTTGTACATTATATGCACAAAGTGATACGATGGCTTTCTGTTGGCTAATGGCCTTGTCAGGCAGTAATAAGGTTGAGTTGAATGTGTCAAACTCTAGTTAAGCCAACTTATTTCTATTGTACCCCAGTGTTCAAGACAACAAGGTTCGACTGTAAATGTGCACTGTGGGATGTGTATGCTTTTGCAGCATTTTGTTTTAAATTGTAAGTGTCTATTTTGTCTGTAATGCTGTTTACATCGTTGTGCACAGTTGTGTCTCTCAGACGTGCCAAAACATCTTTGATATTCAACTTCGGTTTACCTCGATTATCTTTCTACGTTTGTCAGCACCATACCCTTGCTAATGGGTTTCACCAAAGTGGTAAACGTCTGAGACCTGCATCATGTTGGGCTTTCCTCCCACATTAAGCTGACACGCCGTGTTATATCTGGAAGCGTGATTGTTCAAAGTGGTGTTAAACCCAACGCACTCACTCTATGATGTGCCAGACACCTATGACAATATTCAAATCCTGGTTCGCCCTGAGTGTTCCTTGGTTTCTAAGCACAGTACCTGTACTTGTGGGTTTCACCAAAGTGGTAAACTTCTCTGACCAAATACAGTTCAAAGCGGCATGAAACCAAAGTCACTCACTCACTCTCACATCATTGATGGTTATCAGGAAAGTAGTGAGGTCCAATCTCATTAAAATCAGATCTAAGTTCTCTGCCGCTAAACAAAGATCTGAGGATATCCCATAATGGGTCACATCAGAACAACCTTTCACAAACTTTGACCGATCACTGAAATGACTAACAAGAAGCCGACATCAGCCAATGAAAAAGCATCTCTCTCAAGCTTTACGGCACTCGTTTCAACCTGGCGACTTCCATTTCAGACTACGATTAAAATTTTGAAAACTGAACAAACGAACATTCCGGAATGTCTAATATATGATTGAAATTGTATAGCAGTGCGTCCCACATACTGTGCAACGCCTCCTCCGTTCAAAAGTTTATTCCTTGGAAGCGAGAGAGACAGATAATAAGTTTGACAGAATCATTGGTACGGGCCGTAACTGTCGTTCGGAATACCCTGTGTTAACATTTTCAAGGTAGCATGATTATGAAACACATTCCGACTGTCACTTTCATGATCTGGTAAGCGCCGCTTTGATTGGTCGGATGAAAAATCGTTCTGACGTGACCTGTAATGGGATGTCCTTAGATCTTTGTTTAGCGATAGTGAAAACTAAGATCTGATTTTAATGAGATTGTAGTGAGGCCAGAACAAAGAATCAGTACTGAGGTGAAACTAGACAAATAGTTTGGGACAGCTAAAGCATTAAGCGCTGTTCAGCAAATTGGGGCATCATGTCCCCTAGAATATTTGGCTTAACCTGTCATCTGAGGAATCTGGGAATTACTGTTTTGTGCTGAACTTTTGTAAAAAGTTTGCAGATTGATAGCTTTGTGGGTAGTTCATAGATGGACTTTGAATTGTCCTTGATGGATTTTTTCATAATTATCGATTGATACGGGTTATCACATCGATATTAACAATTTGTTGTCACTGATGGGTAAACACATTGAGAATTGGTTGTCCTTGATGGTTAATGGTAATCACTTTGATAGCAACAGCTAGTTTTCCTTGATGTGTAATCCAGTTCACATTGGTTGTCCTTGAAGGATAACGGTATCACTTTGACAGTAACAGTTGGTTGTCCTTGATGGTTAATGGTAATCACTTTGATAGCAACAGCTAGTTTTCCTTGATGGGTAATCCAATTGACATTGGTCATCCTTGATGGATAATATTAATCACTTTGATAGCAACAGCTAGTTTTCCTTGATGTGTAATCCAGTTCACATTGGTTGTCCTTGAAGGATAATGGTAATCACTTTGACAGTAACAGTTGGTTGTCCTTGATGGGTAATCCAATTGATGACCTTCTCCAAGCTGTATCATTTCTGTAATGATGGGCGAGTTCATCTCAAAGTTTGTGATATCCCATTAGTCATGATATGTATCTGTGCATTTCATAATTTTCTACTTTATTTTTACATACGTCTTGTAAATAAGTTTTTAAAATAGTTTTTTGGGAATGCGACAGGTAGCGTTACTCAGTTTCCCGTCTCACGGCTGTGAAGATGTTTTTGTGGGCATGATGCAGTGGTCGGTGTCTGTCAGTCAGTGGGTTAAATCAGAACAGTATAAGCAAACAAAGAACTTGGAATCTCAGGGACCTGGATATCGGCTAATACAACCCTCGTGAAAGGATTCTGTGCAAATATTATTTTTGACAAATCAGGAAAGTAATTATCCTCAAGTTACAAAAACAGTTCAAACTAAAAAACATAAAGCTATTCTTTGAAATTGGGAAAAAGCTGCACTAAATTTGTTACATTTCTGTCAGACACCAGGCACAATGATTTCCCATTGTTGGAAAATGGCGAGAAAGTGACACGTATCTGTTGAAAACAATTTGTTAAATTGGTCTGGCCAAGTAACTAAAAAAAAAAGAAAGAAAAAAAGAGTCTTGTGAACAAAGTGACATGATACATATTTATCTGGAGTATATGGTTTCCTGTGTGTTAAATTTGTGTGTATGAACTTTGAGGCTCCAGAAATGTTTTATTTGTGATATTAGAAACATTGTGTGTATAATTATCAACATATCATCTGGTGTACACAGATATCTTCTGTTCTTGTATGTAATTGACTCCCACCAACCAGCATCATAAGTAGACTACTTTTTCAATGAAGCATTGATTTGTGGCAAGGATTTTTAAAGTCCAAATGTCTCTGATGAATACTCCACGTCCCGTCTTGTTGCAACGGTTTCTCTTATCATGCTTATGTTGTAAGTGTATTGGCTGATACATCTCGCCATTTTTCATGTTGCCATCGTTCAATCAGCTTAATTACTTTCTTACAACTCCAAACCTTAGTTTAAATCTTTTTTGGGGGGTGGGGGGGGTGGAGGTTTGTTCTTTTAAGCCGCACTCAGCAATATTCCAGCTATATGACGGCGGTCTGTAAATAATCAGTCTGGACCAGACAATTCAGTTATTAATATCATAAGCAACAATCCACGCAATTGGGATCGATGACATTCTTCAACCAAGTCGCGAGCCTGACCACCTGATCAAGTTAGTTGCCTCTTACGACAAGCATGGGTTGCTGAAGACCTGTTATACCCCGAATCTTCACGGGTCAGTTTAAATCTAATGTCAGGAGAATAATATTCTGTTTATGTAAACTGTCCTGCCGGGACAAACCCCATACCTTCTGAATACTGAGCCACTGTTGTTCTGCAACCAGGCCGAGTGGAGAAAGAAGTATTTGAAAGATATTTATTTTAATATCTTTCTTTGTGTTAATATTTTATGTCCATTTAGTTACTTTTGTCAGCCGTGATGCATAAACATCACATTAAATGTAAGGTCTAGTGAATCTTTGCTCGTCTGGAGAGGGGTATTTTCCCATACACACCAACAGTTTTGTTAGTGGCCCACGGTGGAACTGTTGGTGTTTGGGCCAATACACCTGGCAAAACACGAACCAGAATTTCATCACCTCCATGGATTGTGGTCATTGCCCCAACACTTTCTGTGATAGATCTGAGTATGCAACTGAGGAATGTTTGGCAAGTTCTAGGTCTGACCACACAGATGTTCTAAACCAATCCTTTTGAAGACTAAATGTAGGTTCATAAGAATATCTCTCAACTTGTTGTAATGTGAAGAAAATTTACCTAAATGTTTCAAGGTCAAGGTGATGTTGGGCCTTGCACAATATTGTTACACTCGGGGCCAATAAAATCATTTTGAAACTCGTATGGGGATCCACATGACCACCTTTTACAGGCATACAATCGGAAGCTCTGTATGTGACTGAGTGTAAATGTACTAATCATTTGGTGATGTTTTATATTAAAAACCAGGGCCCAGATTTTCAAAACGATCGTAGCCCTAAATTTTTTGTAAAGTTATTGTAAGGAAATCATAAGCTATCAAGGCTATTTTCGAAACTATCGTAGCCCTCAGATATCTTAAGTCTATCGTAAATCTAAGATAGTCCCAAACCTGTCGTAAGTTTATTTTATCTTCATTCAAGATGGCGGTATACTTTGTGATTCAAATTGACACTTCGAAAACACGAAGATCGCATCAAAGATTTCACGCCAGAAATCCACATGGCTTACAATATATTTCTATCCGAGTCCATGCTGAAGAAGTGTGAAACAACATACCTTTTCAATAATTTGGGGAGGATAAAAACGGAAGGTGTCTTATTGATAAATCAGGGGCAGGTAATCATAGTTCATACTCTAACTGAGAGTGGTTTCCCTTAGTATTCGCCCGGCGAGATCTTGCTCAATGTTTCAGTTTTCATATAGCGCAGAGTTTTGCTGTTATAATTTCTTGATCGCATTTGTGACAATGCTTATGTCTTTATTTTCGCATTTTCTAAAATTGTATCAATCTATATATGTGAAAAACCATAAGCGTTTCTCATCAAGTTTTACATCTAAAATGATGTGGGACAAGTGGTAATTTAATATTAACTATATAGTGTAGTATTTATTGACTTAACAAGGTAGAATATTTGTATAAAGAGATAGTTAACAAGTGATTAATTATTGTCTGTTGAATAATTGCTTTCTTTAATAAACAGGTGATTTAAGGCATAGATGTATTCCATTAAATATAGCAATTTATTGATTTATTCACAGCAACAGTTATGCACATATTTTCGAGAAAAATCAAGTAAAAAATGGGTTCCCATGCTCATTTGGGTTTCAAATGTCGTCATAAAGTTTCCTATATTTTGAACATTTGAACATTGTCCAAAATTAACTTTCCAATATATTTCTGCAGAAAATGTTTATTGAATGAAATTTACTGATCAATATTAAATAGACATTTTCACCACAATAATCATTGTAAAGGATAGGGTCACCGGACAAATACTATTAAATGACCCTCAGCAATTCTGTCAGACAAGCCAAATGTCACCGAACTACGTTCGGGAATATATTTCACACATTTACAATATTGATATTTTGCTTCTCAGCCAGATTTAAATCAAATCAGACAAATCAGTTAATCAATTAGCCTTACTTTATTTAAAATGACAGAACAGGACTACATTATATGTATGTTTATGCTAACTTGTGGCGTGTTCCATGAGACAACATAACTTGACAATTCCTAAATTATCTCCCTTTGTAAACGGAAATTAGTGTCACTTTCAAATTTTGATATGAATTTTGGATCCAGATAGCTTAAAAAATTTACATCATCAAAATACAAATAGCTTTATATTGTATTTGAGTCCTTTGTTTATTCGTGAAATATATCAGATATGTAAATAACAAAAACTTATATTGTCCTTATAACTCGCTCTACCTGAACAATTTTTGTTTTGAGTGGTTCCAGGTACAGTATTGGTGTTTTCTCCATAAACTTGACAAAAAACAAGCAGTATTAAGAAACTGACCCAGTATACCTCACGTAACATTAGACTTAAACACGCATCTTCAATGCTGAACGCCTGCAGTTCGATCATAGGTCTTGTCATTGTGAATCACGTCCCTTACCTACGTCCTTGACTTTGTACGCGATGTGTTTATATAAAGTTCTGCGGGCTCATGACAGGATCATTTGAAGGTAAAATAGTTAAGTATCTTTTTGGGACATTATTTCAATTCTCATGGCTATATTGTGGTAACACTACACTTATTGATTATAACATTTATTGGGTTTGAAAAATGCCTTTGCATGGCACATGAATGCTATTTGTGTTCGGGTAGTCATCTTTTATCATAAGAACAAAACGGCTACATGTAGGACGTATGTAGGATTGTAGCCAATGTCACTCAAATAGTTGCGTGTTAAACGGTGTGACCTGACAATGTGATAATGAATTTCGTGTCACTTCTCTGTGTTGTTATTGCTAGAGAAATACCCCACTTGTTTAATCTATAACACAAATGAGTTCTCCGTTAGTTTATGATAGTTTCAAAAATCTATCTTATCTTAAACTTAAGATATCTTATCTTTGAACATAAGTTGTTGAGATTTATCTCAGCTGAGAGCGTTTCCAAAATCTAGACCCTGACTACTGACAATATGGTAACCTTCTTGGGATTGGTTGGACTTAGAACTTGGAAGTCAAAGTGTATGTGGTAGAATGTATGTGTCCATAAGATGGGAGTGATTTATTTCAAATGGCGGTTTATACAAGTTAATGCTGGTTTCAAAGACAAAAAATGCTGAATTTTCCAAAAATGTTTGTCTTACAAAAATCTGATGGTCCAGGTTCACACCAGAGGGCGCTGAAGACCTGACTCAGCTCTTTGTATGCAATATACAGGTTTTGATGAAAACTAATATTTTCTTTTAATATTTGGTGTCAACATAAGAATACAACAAGCTACACAGTCACTCAATACTCTGATGCAACAATACTTGTTTGGCAAAGAAAGAATAAAATAAAAAATAGCAAAATATTGACGCTCTTCACTCATTTTCCTAACTTCACATTTGGAACAAAAAAGCACATCTGAATGTTCAATCCAAGGTGGTATTTTACTACAGCTTCAATTTACAATTGACACAAGGGGGAGAGAACTCTTTGTAGGTGTTAAAACAAAAATTGTCATTTTAAAAATTTGAGAAAAAAAATAAAAGCACCCATGATAAAACTCTTTTGTAAAAGGGTAATCAGTTAAAATAAGTTATGTAAGAGTCTATAGCAGAGAGCATTACTCAAAAACTTTTGATCCAAGGTTGTGTTTTACTGCGGCTTCAATGTACTATAATTAACCATTTGGGTAACTTGCAGCACTTGCAATGAGGATGTCTGCACAAGGAGTTTCTTATCTTATTTGGCCCACAAAATATATATTCAATATATATGTGACTATGATAATTAATTTCTCCTTCATAATATTTTGAGTTTGTTGTGAGTTGAAATGACCACATGATTGTAAGTACTTCACATATATTTCCACTATCCAAATCTGCATATCTAGAAGCCATAAATCAAGCAGTTACTGACCCATTTGATTGTTGTCTGCTATAACAGTCAAGATTTAGTTTAGTTTGACACTAATTGTTAGTTAAGTTATTCACTATCTTCAGTTTATCCAGATGCTAAGTGACGTGTATGCCCAGCTCACATCTTCATGGCACGACGGACGTATCACACTGATCTTCAGACAGTGAAAGTGACACAGAAACTGGTAAGACCTGTCTCTAATCCTTACATTGTCATAATCTACATCTGTGTCATCAGGGATAGTCTTCAGTTGCTCAGTGATGCGGCTTGGCATTTGATCACCATCAAACTCAACAATGGGTAGGTTCCATCTTCTAACTTCCAGCCAAGTCCTTCTGGTGCATATTGAACTGGAGTTGGTGTGTGAGCATTTCTCCAAACAACAAAGTCGGGTTGTTTGATCTTTTCCACCAATGGCATCACACCCTCGAATCCTGTAGAGTGGAGCAGAATTTGCTGGAGGAGAAAACTTGTGTATAAAAATACTAATTCCAGTGTGTGACATCTCCGGTCTGGAATATCAGGAGCATACAAACTTCTCAATCCCAGAAATGTTTTCTGATGGTATCTGGGACAACCCCAGACACCTAAACGTTGATTAGCAGGATGACTGGACCATTTGCAAGGTCGACACTTTCCCTTTCTGATGAATGCAGCTGTGTAGTCGCACCCTGTGAAAGTGTACAGATGGAAGTACTTGACACATCTTCGCCAATTACAAAAGATGCTGCAGTGGTGTCGATGTTGCGCTTTGTGTTGTTGCTGCTGTTTCCATCCTCCCACCTTTCAGGTGTTTCAAGTGATGAAGCAGCAAGACTAATTGGTCCAACCTCATCGAGATTGTACTTCCCTGCATACCGCTGTACAATTGCTGAAAATGGGGTATAACATGGCTAATTCCTAAAACAAACCAGTTGATGTGAGAGCCGATCTCCATCATCTGTCTGTTAAAGGGGGCTAGTTGTCTGAGGTCCTGCAATATTCTGTGCAGAGTTGTGTCCCTTGTCATGGCAGAAACCTATGATCGTTGGTTACAATCCCAGTGCGCCCCAATCATGTTTGTCAGCACCAACCTGTTATTGTGGGTTCCACCAAAGTGGTCACCGTCCGAGACCTGCTTCACTGGGTTTTCCTCCCACATAAAGCTGACACTCCATGATAGAACTGGAATACTGTTTATAGAGTGTCCTTAAACCAAACCTACTCACTGTTAACAGACTCCAAATCTTTGATTCTTGCCCAAGGAAACAACATCCTTTTGCTGGGCGACTTCCCCAGCCAGTGAGGTCGGGGAATGGATTATCATGAGCCTGGTGTGTTCATTACTTCATTTGCTGGTGTGTTCATTACTTCATTTGCTGGTGTGTTCATTACTTCATTTGGGTGCGAGGTTAAATTTTGACTCTCACACTCACTAACACTTCATTTGGGGAAGCAGCAACTTGTCGCCTTTATCTTATGGAAGGCTATGACATTTGGAAGTGGATGAGGGACCATAGAACCCTGGACATTCTAGCCTCTATGGTGGCTGCTCCTCTTCAACCTTGGGTTGTAGATATGGCATCAGATGATACAACCGCTCAATCAACTCTGAGATGGAATGGCCAGGTTTGAAGTTGTCCAATGGTTGAGACTCGGTCAAGATGTTCAGCCATTTTGATGTCGGACTCCTAGTCTGATCTGTCATCACAGTTCAAAGCCCCTGGAAGCCCCTGGAAGCCCCTGTTATCCATGGTGACTTGCTCCTGACACTGATGGTCTGATGTTACCAACAGTTCTCTGGTTGGTTTGTGTTTTTGTTAACGCCACACTCAGCAATATTCCAGCTTTTTGATGGCTGTCTGTTTGGTCCAGGCTCAATTATTTACAATCTAGTGATTGACATCATGAACTTTGGGATACAATGACGCCCATCAACCAAGTGAGCAAGCCTGACCACCAGATCCCTTCGGAAGCCTCTTATGACAAGCATGGATTGCTAAAGACCAATTCTAACCTCATGTCGAGCCCATTGTATGATGGCTACAAGTATCCACGTCTTTTCAATGATCAAGCCAGAACCTCGTCGGTAACTGTTGTTTGCGGTCGGTTACTGCTGTATGCGGTCGGTAACTGTTGTATACGTTTGGAGAAGGCTTGGATGGTAAAATGAACAAACTTTGTATCAAGTTTTTTTTAGAAATGCCAACACCAACACCTGTTCAAAATGCACCAGAAGGACATGGCTGGAAGTTTGTAGATAGAACATATCAATTGTTTAGTTTGATGGTGATCAAATGCCAAGCAGCATCACTGAGCAACTGACGGCCAACCCCGATGATTCAGATGCAGATATTGCTGATGTGAGCATCACTGACAGTTCGGACAGTGAAAGTGACACTGACACGCATGTAGAAGATCGATGTGGGATGTTTGTTGTGCCTTGGAGATGTGAGCTGGACATACATGTCACCAAGCATCTGGAGAAACTGAAGACTGTAAATGGCTTGAATAGCAATTTGTGTCATACTAAACAAGATCATGGCTTTTACAGCAGACAACAATCAAATAAATGGGCCAGTAACTGTAAGTTCTTAAGATATATTTTCATTATCCAAATTAGCATATTTAGAATCAAATCATGTGGTCATTTTGATTCACAGAGGAAACTCAAAATATTATCAAGGAGAAATTAATTATCATAGTCACATATATAATGAATATATATTTTGTAGGCCAAATAAGATAAGAAACTCTTACAGAACATATTTTAACTGATTACCCTTTTACATCAGAGTTTTATCTTGGGTGCTTTTATTTTGTCTCTCAAAATTTGTCAAATTTGTTTTAAGCTGTAGTAAAATACCACCTTGGATTGAACGTTCAGATGTGTTTTTTTTCAAAAGTGAAGTAAGGAAAATGAGCGAAGAGCATCAATACTGATTATTTTTTCTTTGCCAAACAAGTATTGTTGCATCAGAGTATTGAGTGACTGTGTAGCTTGTTGTATTCTTATGTTAACACCAAATATTAAAAGAAAATATTAGTTTTCATCAAAACCTGTATATTGCATACAAAGTGCTGAGTCAGGTCTTCAGCGCCCTCTGGTGTGAACCTGGACCATCAGATTTTTGTAAGACAAACATTTTTGGAAAATTCAGCATTTTTTGTCTTTGAAACCAGCATTTACCATTTGAAATAGGTGAAATGAATCGCTCCCATATCTTCTCTTTGTTGTGTTTGCATAATTTCAAAATATGTGTGTCCTATTATCACAATTTCATTGTTATAACCGGAAATAAATTTTCTTCCACTGAATGGCTTTCTTGTTGAAACTCTACACCACGCTTGTTTCAGCGAGAATAAATCTTACCTCTTGTCACAACACATATTGAACTCCACAAGGAAGGACGCATCAAACCAGCAAGCATCATTTTGCTTCTCTTCATTACATATTTTATTTCATATATTACAATTTCACGAGCAACACTGTACAAGATGTGATGAAGCACTACCCGTTCAGTTCACACAGTATTACCGTCATAACAAAACTCTTTTGTTGTTCCATGAGCAAATCTGACATCAACCACCAATAAACACTCAATTATGGTTGTGTTCTTCTTGTTGTATTCATAAGGGACCATGTTTACTTAGCATGCCGTATGACCATAGAAATCTGTATCAAAATGTTAAGTGTGGTACATCATCCGGACCTCAAACCTACGTCTTAGCATGATCCATCATTGGAAATAGAATATCAACAAATCCATATTGAATTACATTCATTGTATATCTTGACTCATGATTGTAATCTATTTTATTAATATCAAAATTTCATTCAATAATATTTTCATTAATTTTGGCGAAATTGTATGTCCCTCCGACACTTCCATTTGCCCTGTTCCACAACCTTTACATAAGCCAACCCCTTTCGATAGAACTCTTTTTCTGGTCCTCAATATTCAGCTTATCTACGGTCATGTACCCTACAACCTTCAATAAACTCTCAATTAACCAGGATTAATGTACATCTACAAATATTGTATAATTTCCTCCCTGTCCCAACCAGTGTCGGATTGCACAGAGTCGACTGTATGAGATACACCATAACCAATTCGGGCTACCTTACAAATGAGTGAGAGAATGTTGTCTCATGCAGAAGTCAGCGATATGCCAGCCATAACATCACTGTAATCCACTCTGCACCAGACAAACGAGTGGTTGATAGCATGAGCAATCATTTTTTATCTTCTATACATAACTTTCCAGACAACAGAAATTTGTACTTTAGCTGAGTGAGTGAGTATGGTTTTACGACGCTTTTAGCAATATTCCAGCAATATCACTGCGGGAGACACCAGAAATGGGTTTCACACATTGTACCCATGTCGGGAATCGAACCCAGGCATCTGCAAATCTCAAAACTAAACAGTGAGTTTAGGCACCTGAAAGAGGGCCGCCACCTTTGCCCCTTGAAGCAATGGCACAGTACAGATCTTCATGTCCGGGTAAATACTTGTTTAAACCACTCCATTACATTACTGCAATGTACAACAGTGTTACGCTCAAAATGAAAGACATGATATCATGAAGCATGGTTAAAGATCTGAAGAGAATTTCATTTGTCGTGATCCGAATGTATTCTTCTCAGTTTTTCTTTCTTGTGTTTGTTATTGTGTCGTTTCCATGGTTTCGTATTGATTGATGTCTGGCTGCTGAAAGGGGTGGAGCTTTGTGATGACTCTGCTGACACCTGCTGGAGTCCTTCGGTGCGGATGTACTTGGACACTCCATGAGTACCTTTCGAGTGGGCAGACATTTTGGCCTGAAAGAAAAGAGATATGGGTGCTTGCATTAACAATCCTGTTTCTGTCTTATGAGGCAACTCTCTCCATTTAGATCTCACAAACCATCCATCATCTTTGTAAATTATGTGATGAATATTTTAAGGTTGCTCGTAAATTGTGTATCCTATGTAAGTATGGGAAACAACCAAGTATGCTAAAGTTCATTGAATTGTTCCAAATCTCTGTCAAGAAGAACTTTGTAAATATACTGATAACATGAAAACTGTCAAAGCTGACGCCTAATATTTGTCCGCCTCACAATGTGATGGATCCTCACACTGAGTGCAATAAAGTCCTGTTCTGTTCTGTTCTGTAGGTCATTATAGGCTTGAGTTGGGTTTGACACAGCTTTAAACAGTATTCCAGTCATATGTCAGCTCAATGTGGGAGGAAAGTCTGATGCTAACAAACCTAGAAACATGATCAGGGCAAACCAGGATTCAAACCCATGATCATAGGTTTCTGAACAGCGAATTGCGACAAACAGAGATCAGCTCTTACATCAACTGGTTTGTGGCAGTGATGTAGGACTCCGATGTTTACCACTTTGGTGAAACCCACGAGCATGGGTATGGTGCTGACAAACCCAGAAACATAATCAGGGCGAACTGGGAATCGAACCCACGATAATAGGTTTCTGATAAGCAACCAACCAAATCACAGAGCCTGAGCAACCAAACATTTTGGTCACACCATACAATTTTACATCTAACTATCAAAGTGGGTTATTTTCCTCTGATATATCTTGCCTGTACACAGACAGAGTGAAGTAAAAGGTCTTCATTCTCTACTTCTTTCACTCACAAATGTTCATGTTTGAAATATGAAATATTTGTGGAATATTAATGACGCCCTACCTTGGCAAAGAACTCCTTATCTAGAGATGTAGTGTGTGGAGCTTTGGCCTGAAAAATAAGAAACATATGCCCTGGTCACTACATGTCACTACAGTTAAGAGGTATGGCTTTAATGTAGCGAATGCATTTATCATCTACATAGCAATTTGTAAGCTTAACAGATACAGTCGAACTTCGGGAAAAACCTGTTTGAGACAACCAACAAGTGAATTTCCGAAAACCAAACATCATGCTATGAGAGATTATTACATGTAATCTGGTCATCTTCGGTTTCTCACTACATTTCAACATCAAAAACCATTTTATTCTACAACAGTGACACGTGACAACACTTCAGTACCGCACTGCCGATGTGTGTACAGTAATCACCTTGCAGCTTGATACCTTGATTATTAATTTTGAGTTTGAAACAATCAAGAATTTGACAGATTTGAGCAAAAATGAAGATAAATATAGAAGGAATTCGAAGGGACAAGGAGATTTCTAAAATACTGGGAATTTGACACATGCAAGTTCGACACGAGGTTAGACTGTCGTTATTTTTCATATGTATCAGAGAGAGTGAGTTGGGTGTAATGCCATATCACGGCGTGTCAGCTTAATGTGGGAGGAAAGCCTGAAGTGATGCAGGCCTCACACGTTTACCACTTCGGTGAAACCCACGAGCACGGGTATGGTGCTGACAAACCTAGAAACACAATCCAGGTGAACCGGAATTCGAACCCACAATAATAGGTTTCTGGCGTGCCCAAGGGACGCAACTCTGCAATATTCCAGCAATATCACACTGGGGGACACCAGAAATGGGCTTCACACATTGTACCCATGTCAGGAATCGAACCCCCCGTCCCCAGCGTGACAAGTGAACGCTTTAACCACAAGGCTACCCGACTGCCCAATTTCACAGTCTGCATTTCATCCATCTCCTTCGACCCTGGTCTTAAAACGATCACAGAAGACTTAAAAAAACAACCAAAACACCTATCCAAAACAAATCCCTGCCTTAACCAAGGTTACTATCATTGTCAGTGGTCTAATCAATGCAAGAACCTCGTGCAGTCTGATCTAGGATCCTTTCCACATCAGGATCGAAGGAGGAAGATGAAATGCATAGTTCGAGATAGGGTAAGTTTGAAAATTTGACCACTCTTCCATCATGTCCATGTTGCTGTGTGCATGGAAACTCGATGTTACAACATACCCATGTCTCCAAACTGTCACATGGTGACGTTGTCATGATAACCAACTATCAAAGTAACAATGACAAAATATCATTGGTTCACTACACCCTGCATATACTACACACTGTAGCCTTGGGTATCCTGCGTATTCTATCATTCACCACCACAGTTTTGTTTTGGAAGTTGGTTTGTTGTTTAACGCCGCACACAGCAATATTCCAGCTGTATGACGGCGGTCTGTAAGTAATCAAGTCTGGACCAGACAATCCAGTGATTGACATCGTGAGCATTGTACCATAATTGAAGCATAAATAACTGGTTTACAATTACAGCCCTCAAATGAGGATAACAATTTTGCATTTACACTTGTCCTCATCCAAATTTTGTAGTCTCAGGCTAGCAGACAAGCGTGAATTTCACAGGCTGACAGTATGGTGATAAGAGCCACCTGTGGACAGTCACCTTCAGCGTGAGATCCTCCTGCCCCCCAGGGTGGGCGACTCCGCCTTCCTCCAGGGTGGGTGTGGCTTGGAAGTGTGCAGCATCCAGACCGGGCGGGGGGTGACAGTACAACAGTCTCCCCTGCAGAAACACAGCATCAGTAAACACAGCATCAGTAAACACAGCATCAGTAAACACAGCATCAGTCAACACAGCATTGATAAATGTTGTTTCAGATTTGACTTTCAGATAAAATACTTCTCTGAGGTTTTAAGATGAACAGTTTCTTTTTGTTTGTTTGTTGTTTAACGCCCCACACAGCAATGTTCCAACTATATGATGGCGGTCTGTAAATAAATGAGTCTGGACCAGACAATCCACTGATTGATATCATGAGCATCGATCCACGCAATTGGGATACAATGACATGCTTCAACCAAGTAGGCGAGCCTGACCATCCGATACCGTTAGTCGCCTTTTACGACAAGCATAGCTGCTTTTTACATGCAAGCATGGGTTGCTGAAGACCTTCTCTACCCTGGTCTGAACAGTTTCTATTGATGCCTAGTGTGTATTAATAATCAATAAGGTAAAGCTGAAAGCACTTCCTCTTTATTGCCCAGCTATCGGTGGAATACAAGTCAACCCGACTAAGTGGTCATATTAAATATAACTACATTAGCACGAATTGGGAATGTTATAATTTTTAATTTTTTTAATGACATTTGCTGGTGACTTGTGGACGTATACTGGTTTCAATGTTTCAGAAATCAGAACCTACATTGACATAATCCTTCAGGATGTATCTTGATGATCTGGGGCAGTCAGGGAGGCCGTTGGAGGTCATGTAGCCACGCATCACTGCAAATACAGTTTTAACATGTTAAAACATTTTCTTTTCTATAACAACAGTTACACATGAATTATGTGAGTGTGTTGGTTTAACACTGCTTGTCACAGTACTCCAGTTATATCACAGCGTGTCAGCTTAATGTTGGAGGAAAGCCTGAAGTGATACATGCTCCAATGTTCACAATTTTAGTGAAACCAATGAAACCGAGAAACATCATCGGGATGAAACAGGATTCAAACCGACAATAATAGGTTTCTAGTGTACTCAAGGGATGCAATTCTGCACAGCAAATTACGGGTCCTTAAGACGGCTTGGCCACCTGTCCCCCCTTTCAAACGTCAAACGTAAACCTGTTCCTGAGTGTAGTCCCTATGTTCTGCCATGTTAAAGCAGAAGCAACCATGATGTTATTACAAGCAAAACCAGACGAAGGACACGACAGATGAAGCACCACATTTTGCCCAATTGCAAAGTCAAACAAGTGTAATACCGCATATTGCCATCTACAGTGCTGTTTCTTGTTCCACCAGCGGTAGATGGTGTATATAAATTAGGACTGACACAAACATGGCCAACAAAACTTCAAAGGTTATCTATTAAACTGTGAGCAGGTCGTGGTCCAAAATTAAATTTGTCGTGTGTGCCAAACAGATCAGCCTTCCCAATTTGCTAAAGTACATATATTCTTAAAATACTGTTTGATTAAAAACAAATGTTAAACATGATTTTGATTGCAGTTACTTAAGTTAGGCAAGCAGTGAATGCATCAAGCATGTTAAGGAGTAATGCAGGATAAGTAAAAATTTGTCTTAGACTTTTTTCATATATTTCGCTTCACGCCAAATGAAGTTTCTTGTTTAATGCTGCACCACGCACTGTTCCAGCTTTATGACGGCAACCTGTTAGTTGTCGAGTCTGGATCAGACAATCCAGGCGATCCCGAGACAATCCAGGCGATCCCGAGACAATCCAGGCGGTCGCGAGACAATCCAGGCTGTCGCGAGACAATCCAGGCTGTCGCGAGACAATCCAGGCGGTCGCGAGACAATCGAGGCGGTTGCAACACAATCAAGGCGGTCGCAAGACAATCCAGGACGTCGCGAGACAATCCAGGCGGTCGCGAGACAATCCAGGCGGTCGCGAGACAATCCAGGGGATCGTGAGACAATCCAGGGGATCGCGAGACAATCCAGGCGGTCGAGACACAATCCAGGCGGTCGCGAGACAATCCAGGGGGTCGCGAGACAATCCAGGCGGTCGCGAGACAATCCAGGCGGTCGAGAGACAATCCAGGGGATCGCGAGACAATCCAGGGGATCGCGAGACAATCCAGGGGATCGCGAGACAATCCAGGCGGTCGAGACACAATCCAGGCGGTCGCGAGACAATCCAGGGGGTCGCAAGACAATCCAGGCGGTCGCGAGACAATCCAGGCGGTCGAGAGACAATCCAGGCGGTCGAGACACAATCCAGGCGGTCGAGACACAATCCAGGCGGTCGCGAGACAATCCAGGCGGTCGCGAGACAATCCAGACGGTCGCGAGACAATCCAGGCGGTCGCGAGACAATCCAGACGGTCGCGAGACAATCCAGGCGGTCGCGAGACAATCCAGGCGGTCGCGACACAATCCAGGCGGTCGCGACACAATCCAGGCGGTCGCGACACAATCCAGGCGGTCGCGAGACAATCCAGGGGGTCGCGACACAATCCAGGGGGTCGCGACACAATCCAGGCGGTCGCGACACAATCCAGGCAGTCGCGAGACAATCCAGGCGGTCGTGTGCGAGACAATCCAGGCAGTCGCGAGACAATCCAGGCGGTCGCGACACAATCCAGGCGGGCGCGACACTATCCAGGCGGGCGCGACACAATCCAGGCGGTCGCGAGACAATCCAGGCGGTCGCGACACAATCCAGGCGGTCGCGACAGAATGACATGCAAGCACCAAAGTCACTGAGTCTGACCGCCCAGTCCAACCACTTACCAACAGCATAGGTTGTTGGGATCCAATTCTAACGTGGAATCCCCATGGGGTTGGCAGAAAAAAGATTATATATTGTTGGTCAATGTTGCTGAAGAGAGTGACACGAGTGTACTTACACCCATATGCATTGAGAAGTTCATGTGCTGTAGGCTGGATGTTTTCATCAACATCTTCTGACTCAGGCAGTGGAATGTTGATGCTGTACATTGTCTCCAGTGTCCTCCGTGGGATGCGTTCACAGATGTAGCAGTGTTAAGGGAAACAACATGGCAGAACACTCACTTGTCTAGGATTACATATCAAAACAGCTCCACAGATCAAATTAGGTGTGTGTGTTCCTGTGTGTGTCTGTCTCTGGGTGTGTCTGTTTCTGTGTGTGTGTCTGTCTGTGTGTCTGTTACTGTGTGTGTGTGTTTCTGTGTGTGTGTCTGTTACTGTGTGTGTGTCTGTTACTGTGTGTGTGTCTGTCTCTGTGTGTGTCTGTTTCTCTGTGTGTGTCTGTAATTTCTGTGTGTGTGTCTGTCTCTGTGTCTGTTTCTGTGTGTGTGTCTGTAATTTCTGTGTGTGTGTCTGTTTCTGTTTCTGTGTGTGTGTGTCTGTTTCTGTGTGTGTGTGTGTGTTTCTGTGTGTGTGTGTCTGTTTCTGTGTGTGTGTCTGTTTCTGTTTGTGTCTGTTTCTGTGTGTGTGTCTATTTCTGTGTGTGTGTCTGTTTCTGTGTGTGTGTCTGTTTCTGTGTGTGTATCTTAATAAGTACACATGTAATTCAATGAGATGAATCAAACTAATCTCGGATCTCCCCAACAAGTCATACACTGTCTGTGAAGGATATGAGAGAAACTGGCGGTACGTGGTCACGCATCTGATCGATGGGCAGAATTCCGTTGACGACCAGGTCAGCCTTGGTGGACACAAAAGACGGGAAGACGAGTCCTGGACAGTCACACAACATCAATGTCGGCTCGACAAACAGTGTCTACAACAGGACACAGCCTTGTTATAAGTGTGGACAGAGTTAAGGTATGATGACATTCTGGCGAGGATCTAAATTTAACATTGTTATGATTATGATTGTTATTATAGCCATGTGAATAGTGCATGTGTCCTTGCCCTTGGTACAGAAGACTTTTCCAGCTGAAGTTTTGTTTGTTTGTTTGTTGTTTCAGCCAATACCAGCAATATTCCAGCTATATGATGGCAGTCCGTAAATAAACAAGCCAGACAATCCAGCGAGCATGATCCAGGACTCTAATTAGCCATATAAAACATGCACCAGTGCAACCTATCATTGAAACAAGAGTCATCAGGAATTGGCGCAATAAGGAAATGGAGCTTGGCGACTTATACCCCACTTTTGGGTCATTGACATTGGGTACCTTCAGTTCAGTGAAGAAAATAATAATGCTGTTCAGTATTTCCCAAATCATCAAAAGCACAAGTTCACCACGAGACTGATCTGTATAGCAAGTTTCATCTAGAAATATTCAACGGTTTTGGGGTCCAAACTTGTCGTTTTCAAAACATGGGGATAAAAAGCAATCTATTAGTTATGTCTACATGACCAGAGTGCATGTAAAAAAAAATTCCAAATTGTGTCTGACAACTTTGATGAATTAATGGGACCAGGGTGCAACATGTTTGTGTTTGGTAAAACTTGGTTTTCATGTCAACATTCACGTGTTGCTAGTTAAATCAAGTTCCCTAAATTGAGCCCTGGCATCGATCTATGCACCTGTTGCTAGTTAAATCAAGTTCCCTAAATTGAGCCCTGGCATCGATCTATGCACCTGTTGCTAGTTAAATCAAGTTCCCTAAATTGAGCCCTGGCATCGATCTATGCAATTGGGATACGATGACATGTATCAACCAAGTCAGCGAGCCTGACCACCCAATCCTGTTAGTTGCCTCTTACGACAAGCATGGGCAGCTGAAGACCAAGTGTATCCTGTGTCTTCACAGGTTCACCAGTGTAATTGACCTGACTGACCTGGAAGTGCTTGGTCCGGCCGGGAGTAGCGGACACTGGCACCTTCTTCATCTGCAGGATGGCGTTGATTGTAGAACTCTTACCAACATTGGGGTAGCCGATCTGTTGACAGGGAATACAACCATTCAGACACATCAAATCAACAGGAACTTCAATCCACATGAATTTACCAGCAGATCACACCAAGTCACCATTATTTACTGCAACAATGACAAGATAAACACTAATCACGGAGTATTGCCGACTGTGACTTAAAACCATCTTTTGTGTAAGAGTGTGGGAGTTTCTCACCATGCCTACAGTCGTGACATCAGCCTTGTACTTGTCTCCAGTGTGAAGGTTCCTCAGTATATCCAGCAAGTCCGGGCCGCTCACAATACTGGCGGAATTAAACCGGGACACGTCCGCACTACAGGAGTTATCTCCCTTACCACTGTCCACGTTCTCACTGCCTGCCTCACTGTGAAGGCGTGGTGAACCCGTTTGGTCCGTATCTACATTTGAGTTGTCACTTAGCCTATTCTGTGTTTCAGAGCTAGGCTCACTGTTCTCAGACTGTGTGTTTTCACACTCCATGCCCTGAGGATCATCACTATCAGTGTCCACAGCAACATCACCCTCTTCCTCCTGTTTGGCTTCTTCCTTCTGTCTGTTGGCTTCCTGTAAGGCTGACCAGAACACAACTCGCACATTCTGGGACGTGAAATAATCCACCCAATGCTGCCTAAAAGGAAAGATGACTTCAAAGTTTATCACCATTTGACATACAGGCTGTAAAAATTCGTTGATGCCACACAATGTCAGATCAATAATAAAGGGTTCATACTGGAAGTTAAGGGGCAAATTGATGAGGTTGAGGAGGGGAAAAACGACAAACTAAACATGGTACATGTGGTACCCTGTTTTCAAAATGTTCAAATTAGAGGTTTCCAACATAGAATTGATACCTGCAAATGTTATTTGAAACTGAACATGTTAGGATGAGTGAGTGAGTGAGTTTGATTTTAGGCTGCCTTTAGCAATATTCCAGCATTATCACGGCGGGGGACACCAGAAATGGGCTTCACACATTGTATCAATGTCAGGAGCCGAACCCGGATTTTCGGCATGACAAGCGAACGCTTTAACCACGAGGCTCCCTGACCTCCCCTCATGTGATGAGCTTTAGAAATTAAAAAATGAACCTGTCTACCATCACAAAATACAAGCAAGCTAAATTGTGTCTGCAGGAGAGATGAGTTGCGACATTGATAGAGTCAAAATATTACAGCACACTGAAATTTTCCAATTAAGGGATCAAACAGGGTTTAATGAGCCATCAATTTCTGCTGCATGAGTAGGGACTCTCATAGATTTTAGCAATACTTCAGCAATATCATGGCGGAGGACACTCGAGTTGGGCTTCCAACATCGTGCCCATGTGGGGTATGGAGCCAGGCATGATGAGCAGACGTTTTAACCACAACATCCCCAACTCCATCATCACTGTCAATTTGTAGCTGTAACCCCGAGGAACACTTTGGATGATATGATGTGTCTCTGCTACTGCCTCTCACCTCTGTTCCTCAGTCAGGTAGTCGGCCTTGTTGACAAGCAGCAGGTTGACCTTCGTACTGCCCACCTCCCTCACATAGCTCTCAATGTCCTCACATCGGAACAGCAGAGGGCTCCGTGCATCTACGATCTGGACAACAACATCGCTGAAATCCAAGACAATGTCATCATATCAGTTGATAAACATACTATCATTGAACCCTACACTACCAACGATCCACATACTATCATTGAACCCTACACTATTATCGATCCACATACTATCATTGAACCCTACACTCACTACCATCGATCCACATACTATCATTGAACCCTACATCGATCCACATACTATCATTGAACCCTACGTTACCACTGATCCACATACTATCATTGAACCCTACACTACCATCGATCCACATACTATCATTGAACCCTACACTATTATCGATCCACATACTATCATTGAACCCTACACTACCATTGATCCACATACTATCATTGAACCCTACACTACCATCGATCCACATACTATCATTGAACCCTACGCTACCACTGATCCACATACTATCATTGAACCCTTCGCTAACAGGGTGTTACGACTGGATCCATTACACAGTCTCCATCCAGTCTTACTTCTTGCCAAAGTATTGTCCATGTTCCAACAAGATCCAATATATTTCACATTGCACATTAATCCATCAAAATCCAAATGAAGTTCACCCACTGCCAACTGGGCACATAGAGTTTTATACAAGCCACATCCATTCAAAGCCAGTCTCAACCTAAGAACTTATCTCTTTGTGTTGTTTGAGCTAAAGAAGACAAATAGCCAAGCTAAAATTACATAACATCAGTCTTTTCTTGGAAAGCATGGTAAGCTTACCAGGGCTTACAAAAGACAAGGGAGTGTTGTTGGTGAATAGATGAGTTTGTTAATGATCAACACTGGCAACACAAGTTTATAAAGGAGGAACATGCTGTCCATGAATGTCAGTCTACATGTCATGGATTCCCATAACACTACCATGATAGTGCTTCATATTCTACCAGTGATCCATACACTACCATGATAGTGCTTCATATTCTACCAGTGATCCATACACTACCATGATAGTGCTTCATATTCTACCAGTGATCCATACACTACCATGATAGTGCTTCATATTCTACCAGTGATCCATACACTACCATGATAGTGCTTCATATTCTACCAGTGATCCATACACTACCATGATAGTGCTTCATATTCTACCAGTGATCCATACACTGCCATGATAGTGCTTGCTATTCTACCAGTGATACATACACTACCATGATAGTGCTTCATATTCTACCAGCGATCCATACACTGCCATGATAGTGCTTGATATCCTACCAGTGATCCATACACTACCATGATAGTGCTTCATATTCTACCAGTGATCCATACACTACCATGATAGTGCTTCATATTCTACCAGTTATCCATACACTACCATGATAGTGCTTGATAATCATGATATTCTACCAGTGATCCATCAGCTACCATGGCAGGGGATGATATTCTACCAGTGCTTGATATTCTACCTGGAGCTGATATTCAACCAGTGATCCCCATATGCTACCATGTTAGGGCTTGATTTTGATATTCTACCAGTTATAAATGTTAACATTATTTCGGGACTGGTCAATATCTGAAGGGGACCGGTGGGTGAGAATACGTGGCATCACAAAATGTTAGGGTGGGTGTCAGCACAATATGATATAGTCCCAAGACCAATCTCACTGGCCCACCCACCCCTTTAATAAATTACCAGTCCTGAATATATAGGCCAAGGTTCATATCTCAATATATTATCATTAAAATGAAGCATTCTTGTTTGTACCATGTACCTCTTCTCTATAACGCACTACATACCTCCTCTCTATAACACGCCACAGCTGTCGCCAGAAATCCAGGTTCTTCTCATACGGCGTCATCACTATGTGCTCCACATCTTGTAGGCTGTAGGGAGAGGAACAGCAATTCAGTCAAATAACAATTATAACGCACAACACAACACAACACACTGCACCGAACCGCACACCACACCACCGCACACCACACCACACTAGTGTCCCTGTTTACCGATAATTACCAGTTGTCTATCTGTAAAATTTGGCTTGGACTGGTAATTCATGTGACTGCCAGTCCCTGTGGACCAGCAAATAAAGTATCTTGTCTGTTACCATCAGGGTTTCCCCTTGTCTATTTTTAGTGCAAGGTAATACATTTTCCATTGCTTTGAGGTTAAATATATATTTGTAGTGACTTTGTCTCGAAATATTAAAAAAAAGAAAATAATATTGTGACTGAACTTTGGGTGAATGACATGTAGATCTGACTAAGTTACTTCAGATATGACATAATTGCAATGAATACAATGTTGAAAGAATTAAAACCAGGTAATTTTCATTTTTTTTCTATGTTGAAAGTTGGGACTGACAAATATTTGGGGGGACTGGTAATTTTTAGAGTTTCCAATCTGCCAGGACTGACAGTTTCAAAAGCCAGCGGGAACACTGAGCATGTATCACACTACACTAGAGCTTGTCAAGCTAGTGTTATCACACTACACTCCAGCTTGTCAAGCTAGTGTTATCACACTACACTACAGCCTGTCAAGCTAGTGTTATCACACTACACTCCAGCTTGTCAAGCTAGTGTTATCACACTACACTAGAGCTTGTCAAGCTAGTGTTATCACACTACACTCCAGCTTGTCAAGCTAGTGTTATCACACTACACTACAGCTTGTCAAGCTAGTGTTATCACACTACACTACAGCTTGTCAAGCTAGTGTTATCACACTACACTACAGCTTGTCAAGCTAGTGTTATCACACTACACTAGAGCTTGTCAAGCTAGTGTTATCACACTACACTACAGCTTGTCAAGCTAGTGTTATCACACTACACTACAGCTTGTCAAGCTAGTGTTATCACACTACACTACAGCTTGTCAAGCTAGTGTTATCACACTACACTCCAGCTTGTCAAGATAGTGTTATCACACTACACTACAGCTTGTCAAGCTAGTGTTATCACACTACACTACAGCTTGTCAAGCTAGTGTTATCACACTACACTACAGCTTGTCAAGCTAGTGTTATCACACTACACTACAGCTTGTCAAGCTAGTGTTACCACAGTGATTAACATCACGAGCATCGATCTAGGCAATTGGGATACGATGACATGGATCCACCAAGCTAGCCTGACCAGCCATTCCCTATGTCAAAGTATGCAATCAACAAATGTCAACAACATTTTTCTTAATATTTTGTTTTGCTGACCTAGCAAGATTTCTCCTCCATTCCAGGAAGGCATCTCTCTCTCGTAGGTCAAGCTGCTCAGCGGTAGTGCTCTCATCCCACTTAGGCCTGGAACAGGAGAAGAAAATAATAAAGAGTAACCTGGATACGTTTTATTACATATTTACACATTCTAAAAAAATAAGCAGTCTTCAACCATTGCTTGTTCATTGTTTAATGCTGCACCAAAGCCAATTCTAACCCGCATCTTCACAGAGAATCATTCCTTGAGGTATCATGACACATATTTGTTCATTTTCGGTCTGATATAAGAATGCACAAAAGTAAGGATGCACGAGTATAGGTATGGTGTTGACATCAATAAAACAATGCCATTTTCCATTAATTATATTCATTATAACATTATAAAATGATCAAAATTTCAACATTCATTCTATTTAGGGACAAACCCACAGCCTATGGTTCTGACTCCCAGTACAGACAATTGAGTAAGGGAGTTGGATTTAACATCACTTTGACATTAATTCAGTTAATGAATGGCTTGTAAGGACATCGTGAAGAAACGATCCATTTAGCTGGCTCCCACAACCAGCATTGTGTGGTGGGGACCACTTCCAACCCAGAATCCCCATCTTGCAAAAGGACTCAACTCTGTACAGCAAGTTGCTGTGTCTTACATCATTTAATTTTCCATGACATGGCTGGGATCGAACATAGTGAGCAAGTAGATGACTTGTTTTTTTGCACGAACTCACAATGAAAGGAATTTACTTGAATGGTTATGGCCACGCAACACTGCTCACCTTCGCGGAATCCTCAGCAGACTTCGATGTTCATCTTGAGCTTCTCGGATCCTCTTCTTCTCCTCCTCCGAGAGAGTTGCAGCTCTTTGGGGGTCCACAAACTTAATGTTCAGCTTTTCTGCATACAGAATACATTTGAAAAAAGTTCAACACTGCTCAGAACAATATTTCTGTTTATATAAGGGAAAGCTTTATGAGAGAGAAAGGTGAAGTGACCCAAGATGCGTACTAAATAGTGGGAAGGATGAAAGGCAGTGGGTTTTTCATTCTGCCAACCCAAAATAATGTAAGTAAAATGTAAAAATAACCAATTCATCTACTGTCACTCTCAACATTAATAAATTGTTTAAAATACTAGTTCTAAAAGCTGTTGAAAATTTATCTGTGACGAAATCCAAAAGCTATTTGAAACGAAAATATCTTTTGCCATGCCCACGAATGTCTGGGCAAAAAGTCTGTGTCCCCTACCCCACCCCATACCAACAACAACAAAGGAACAGGAAACAATCACATACTGCATTGCAGAATGATATATAACCAATCCAGCCTGGCCAGACACCTCTGCCCCCTCTGTTAATGTATAACAGTTGTAATAGTAGCAGCTCTCAGATCATTTTGTGTACAGTAAGTCAAGTATTACGTGTGGGTCCATTGAACTCCATCCACAACAAAGAGTGAGTGAGTGAGTTGGGGTTAACACCGCTTTTAACATTATTCCAGTTATATCACGGCGTATCAGCTTAATGTGGGAGGAAAGGCCGAAGTGATGCCGGTCTCAGACGTTTACCACTTCGGTGAAACCCACGGGCAAGGGTATGGTGCTGACAAACCTAGAAACATAATCAGGGCCAACCGGGATTCGAACCCACAATCATAGGTTTCTGGCGCGCCCAAGGGATGCAACTCTGCACAGCGAATCGCGGTGCCTTAGACGACTGGGCCACCTGTGCCCCCTCCACAACAAAGAGATCACAGAACAATTTAAGATCAATTTATTTCTGGCAGTGTGACGAACAGCACATTAGTCACAATAATAAAAAAGATTAGAATGTTACCTGCAGTAAACTCTGTGCCCGCCAACTGTGCTGTGCTGAGGAATTCATCCAGGTGGGACTGTTCGGTCACTGACTGCAGGTTCAACCTGCCCCAGTCATAACCATCATTCAGTTCACTTGTGTGTAACTGTCAAGGAAAAACATATATCATCATAACAATACCACTGCATTCTATGAAATAATTGTGAGGCTAAGAAGGAAAGTCTTTTTTCTTCATTATCAGTAATGATTAGGGCTCCAAGCCAGAAATGGTTAAGAGCAGTTTCCAGTTTTGTCCAGTACCCTGTTTTTCGGACAGCCATCTATGTTGATCTATGTTGAACCAACAATTATAGGTTTCTGGCACACCTGAGGTAATTGCACAGTGAATTTTGTTCTGAGACAACTGGATCATCCATGTCCCCGGTATATGGAGGTCAACTGACTGAACTGGATGACCGCCCCCACCCCTTTTAGAAATTCTTCATAATGAACATATTTTCATAAATAGTTGGTTGGCTGGTTTGTTGTTTAACGCCGCACTCAGCAATACTCCAGCTATATGACGGCAGTCTGTAAATAATCGAGTCTGGACCAGACAATCCAGTGATTGACATCATGAGCATTGATCCACGCAATTGGGATCGATGACATGCATCAATCAAGTCAGTGAGCCTGACCACCCTCTTAAAACAAGCATGGTCGCCTTGTATGGCAAGCATGGGTTGTTGAAGACCTATTCTACCCCGGATCTTCAAGGTGCCCCTTCATAAATGGAGGTGTGATAAACTACATGACTATGACGTTGCTCATTATATCAATCACAGGTTTGTTGGGTCCAGACCCGACTACCTGGAATATTGCAGTGTGTCGCTATGTAGCACCACAGTGACAAACCAATAATTTCATTTATAACATTCATATTTCATTTGATGGAGTCGGGTTTATCAAATAAATAAACTTACAAAACTGTTGTCCCCAACAGTCCTCTTCCCTGGCCCGAACCTGTCCTTGATTATGCCTCTACCTATAGCATTGCCCTGCTTCTTCTTACCCATCGTCACCGTCTGTCACTTACTGTCAAGCACTTATGTCACTTCTTTCACTGCTAACGTTATTTAATGCATATATTTCACAACAGATAGGAACTTCAGGAAGCACACATGTGCACGTGGGCAGCGAAGGAAAAACCTATGTCTGATTGGATAATATTTATCAAGGGACACAACTCTAATCAGTGTTGTTAACGTCAGCCACTGAAAATAGTCACTTCGATTGCGGCACAAATTTATCGGGTGTTTTCTTTTTGTTTCTTACCACACATCCTGTGTAATTTCAAAGCCTTTAAAAATTGAAATGGTTACCAGTTATAAACATCGTAAATCTGTTGTCAGTAGTCAAGAAAATTAAACAAGCTTTAGCTGATTTCAAATCTGCTGTATATAGATTACATGATTATTTTAACACATTCACAACATCCACTTTTTATAGAGCTTTAGACTCGACGTTTGATCAAAAGTTATAAGGGGTGATCTTTTAAACATAGTATATATATACATATTTATCTCCTAAACTAACAAAGGAATAAAAACAAATAGTTAGAACTTAGATCGTCTCACTGTCTGACATAAATATATTTCACGTTACACTGTCGATAATGATCAGGGAGGCCATAAATTTGACATCGATTCCCTGTCATGTTTTTCTCTGAATGTATCCTTCTGTGTTTTGTTATTAAATTAATGTTTAATTTCACCAAAACCAGCCACTGGCTTCACAAGATAAATTAACCATTTTGAAAAAAAAAGATTGAAGGGATATAAAATCTCTGAATTTGTTTACAGCAACGGTGTTGACGTTCAGTTCAAAGATTTAGTTTCAGCGGCGTTTTAAAAACAGTGAAACCAATCGTACTTGTGACATACGCAGTGATCGGGAGGCACTGTACAACCATATTTAGGTACTGTCCATCGGAGAGAGTCGAATTTGAACCTGGCTGTACCATTACCGCTGTACTATTCCTCAACCTCGAGAGTTTCAATGCATAGAATCATGCATTACTCAAAGGTTCGACGACCGCCTCCGTGGTCTTGTGGTAGAGCGTCCGCCCGGAGAGCGGAAGGTCCAGGGTTCGATCCCGGGCCGCGTCATACAAAAAGACGTTAAAAGATTGTACTTGTTGTTACCCTGTCTGGCGCTCGGCATTAAGGGGCTAAAACAAGGACTGGTCGGCTCGGAGTCAGTATACTGTGTCTGAGTGGGGTATTCATGTTAAACTGCGGCATGGTATCTCAGTGAGGTAGCACTATAAATCGGCATCAGTCCGGACTAGTACAAGCAGCCACACACACACATACACGTGCATGCACGTCGCTATATAAGTGCAATAATCTTGGACGCGACGTTAAACCCAATTTCACCTCACCTCACCTCACCTCAAAGGTTCGACATGCAAATTACATTGTTACTATACAGTTCTGCAGGCCCAAAGCGCATGTTCGGCAGGTGTTGTGTTGGCGTGGAAACACTCATCTTCCCGAGGCATTTTTCCATTCTTGCGGAGAAACTGGACCTTTATAGTCAGTTAACGCCCTTGTCTCGGGAAGATGGGAAACACTATATATGTATTTATCAACAAAAAAGACAATATTCTGAATATAATATTTTATTTTAGAAAGAATACCCATAGTTTCCAAAATGGATCCGGTTATTGCTTCACGATCGGTGAACGTGCAGTCTGAAACAACAAGAACACAAAACATTCACATAAGTAACAAGTATTTGCTACATAATACAGATCTCCTGCCAATATAAGGCGAATGGAAGTGAACTGTAAGCGGTAAAGGGTGTTCAAGTATGGCTGCCTTACTTTCAACAAGGCAAAATTGTTGAATGAAATCATTATCGTATAGTGAGAATAAGTGAATAATGTTTACTTTAGCTGCAGCTAGATCAGAAATATTCCAGCTGAAGCACAGCCGGCTGTACATAATAGTCAGACAAACCAATGGTTGATATAATGAGCAACGTCCCACGCCATAAGGGCACCCACTCAACTAAGTCACCGAGGTTGCCCACAAGATCTATATAGTCGCCCTCTATCGACAAGCAAACTGATAATTTTATCCCGGAATCATCACTTTTTGGCGTTTAACATTGTCACTGAGTGTCAATGAATCTTCAATACCTTTTCTTTCTCTCAGCCGTGGTGTCCGTGACCGTGTCCGTGACCATGACCATGACCATGACCGTGACCATGTCCATGACCGTGTCCGTGACCGTGACCGTGACCATGTCCATGACCATGACCATGTCCGTGACCATGACCGTGTCCGTGCCCGTGTCCATGACCGTGACCATGTCCGTGACCATGACCGTGTCCGTGACCATGTCCGTGACCATGTCCGTGACCATGTCCGTGCCCATGACCGTGTCCGTGACCATGACCATGACCATGTCCGTGACCATGACCGTGACCGTGACCATGACCGTGACCATGTCCGTGACCATGTCCGTGCCCATGACCGTGTCCGTGACCTTCACTTAGGGTCACGAAAATAACTGCAACTGAAATGACGCAATGTTCATGCGCTTGACAGTCCCTCACAATAAATTTCATTTAAAATCATTAAGTGTCTCCGCAATTAAAGTTGAAACCTGGCTACATTACTTCTAATACAATGGGAAGGAGAACAGTAGAAAATATTAAAAAAACCAGCATGATTTAAAAATTCTAATCATGGACTGTATTCGTATTCAGATTAACCCAAACTATGACTACACATGCAATATGATTGGACCATGGAGTAAGCAAAACGACGCTCTACGTTTTAATTATATCTGCCTGTTCAATTTGTGAGGTAAGCACGATGTAGATCTAAGACGTTTATACCAATTAGATGACACCCGCGAGCACGGATCTGTAATCCTAATCAGGGAGAATCCGGGATTCGAACCCACTATATTACGTGACACTGGCACGCTTAAGGGATGCAACGAATTGCGGTGCTTAAATGACTGGGCCACCCGTGCCAAGGTATGCATGTACATATGAATACTAGATATACACGAGCCTTATGTAGTCAAGATTTCATGATATATCTACCTACTGAAGTTACGGAAACGAAGAAAAACAATATGACCAATATAACAGAGCCCATTCACTCACCAAGTGCAAGACACAGTATCACTGTAATGTTCTTCATCTTGTTATTGACTTGTTGAAGGAGTCGGTACTGATGACACACTTGACTCTCAGATTATGTTTTATAGTTTCCTACAAACAAAAATAGCAAATCATGGTGATTTTTTTTTTCAAAACAAATAAGACACCCGTGGTGTCGTCAGTCACTTACAACGGCGTTATGGAGTTAATCCTCTGTGGTGTAGTGGCCCTACTGCCTACCGTGTGGCGACAACCACTGTAGGATGGAAATGTATACATGATAGGGGCGCTGTTTTATTTCTAATGAACCCGGAACATGATGAATAATGACAAATTGTCACCAATATAAACCTACGTAAACCGACAACCGCTGGTTTTAATTGAAGTATGTGCTGGTAGATCAGATAATAGTATATATTAATGTTTAGAATGTTCACGAACCAAGTCACCGAGCCTGACCACCAGATACAGCCAGTTGCCCCTTAGTAGCATGGGTTGCTGGGGTTCAATTTAACCCGGAAACCCCCACGGATCACCGGTATATCTGGTCCAGACTCATTATATTACTGTTTGCCTGGTCCAGACTCGTTATATTAGTGTTTGCCTGGTCCAGACTCGTTATATTACTGTTTGCCTGGACCAGACTCGTTATATTACCGTTTGCCCGGTCTAGACTCGTTATATTACTGTTTGCCTGGTCTAGACTCGTTATATTACTGTTTGCCCGGTCCAGACTCGATATATTACTGTTTGCCTGGTCTAGACTCGTTATATTACTGTTTGCCTGGACCAGACTCGTTATATTACCGTTTGCCCGGTCTAGACTCGTTATATTACTGTTTGCCTGGTCTAGACTCGTTATATTACTGTTTGCCTGGTCTAGACTCGATATATTACTGTTTGCCCGGTCTAGACTCGATATATTACTGTTTGCCTGGACCAGACTCGTTATATTACCGTTTGCCCGGTCTAGACTCGTTATATTACTGTTTGCCCGGTCTAGACTCGTTATATTACTGTTTGCCTGGTCCAGACTCTTTTATTGTTCATATACATGGCTCATAGCTGAAGTATTGTTGCGGTGTAAAACTATATTCAGACCCCTGTAATTTCAGGTCATCCTCTGTTATTCAATGCATCATATCTCTGTCATGCTAGAATGGAGACATCACACATTGGATAATCGAGGATGTTTCCAATCGTTCTCGTGACAAACGCAGTGATCGAGAGGCACCGTACAACCATATTTAGGTACCGACATCGGAGAGAGTCGAACGTGCAGCTGGCTGTACCATTACCGCTGTGCTACTCCCCAGCCCCGACAGTTTCAATGCCCAGAATCGTGTATAACACACAGGTTCCACATGTAAATTACAATGATAAATGTTTCGTGACGTGACGTGTACACAAGCCTGTATCAAAGCCTGGTTTCCTCTTGGCTTTGATGCAGTCTAGCAGACACTCTTGCCTCGGGAAGATGGTGTTAGATGTGTACAGTTTCTTTCAAGCTGAAGTGCATCTTAGTACAGCTTGTCATAAATATGTGGTAACAATGTCATAATGATTCATTATAATTATGATAATTTGGCAGCATCAAACTAAATATTCCAAAACTGATTAACATTTTGTCAATAAAACAGTGTTTTAGTGTATCTCTTTCTCTTTACACTAACCATAAGTATATCATATTTTACTTTTATCTTTTTAAGATATTTGTTTCTTGAAATCATCTGATGAAATATCTTAAATTGTAACTGTTTATATTTGTTATGTACTCGCAGATATTTAATATTTAAAAAGGACTGCCTATTTACCTCTGGCATATCTACGGGTATAGTTTTCATTAGAGTCAAAACCTTATAAAAGAAGTTGGATTTCATAGGAGCGATATCTAGCGGAATATCATTAACAGTTGGAAAACTATCAATATTTATTGCATTAACTAAATTAATGTAAAAATGATTGTATCCGACTGTCCATTTTAATACATTAATGATTTGACGCCTAGAAATAAGTAAAACTACACCGATTCTTTCATATGACTACAGTTAATCTGCATATGTAGTGTACTTGCCTCGAAATATGTAAAAGTGAAATGTCCTGCTTCTTGCTTCTGCTAATTGATCGCTCACAAAAATAATACCAACATTCTTCCGGTTATCCTATAGAATTCTCTTCAGTATTGACAAGAGTCTTACAGTTGCTCCAGATAATATTATGAAATATATTGATATCTAATTCCCCCATACTTCTGTCCAGTATTCTAAATCCGCTTAAAACATATTGGTTGTGAAACTTTAAGCTTGGAAAGTGTTTCAATGAAATAACGACAGTCAAAGTGCCTATCTTATTCAGTTTGTTATTAAATACATTCCAACCACAATTTCTCTTAACATACGTAATTAACCAACCATTCTTGGCAGACATATTCATCAATTAAACATCCACTTCTCATACTTTGTAATACATTTACTTTGCCATTTTTCTGTTTTAACATTCAAGAGAAATTCAAATAATATTCTATAAATGCTTTTCAATGAAGCCCTTTTAAGTGACATTGTATTTAAAATTCTAGACACACCTTCAGCTTTGTTGACTGAAGTTCTACCACATTTCGTATAATGTTTGTTCAACCATGTCATCGATCGTTCATGACCTTCCACATTGCCCTTGTCATTCTGTAGAGCACCCTGGTCCACAACACTCACAAGAAACTTGCATTTTTATATTTGTATAATATTTAAAGGGGAATTAAAATCACTATTAAAATTCACTGACATATACTATGGTTTGCTAAAAGTAATATTTACACCTTAGAATATAAAACTTCAATGTACTTCCCACAGAACGACTTGATTCAGCCGTCACAACATGATTATCAGCAAAAAGGTATTCCTTTAATCTCTGAACCATTTACAGATATGTCGTTAATATCTGCCTGTTTGTGAACTTTATTATTAATTACTTCAGCGCATAAAATAAATAGAATTGGTAACAGAGGGCATCCTTGTTTCGCCCCCTTTCTATTTTGGAAACACCTCAATTTATAACATTCTGAAGAAAAAGAAACTGACAGCCGATTCATACCCGGATTGTAACCACGTGATCAAAACTCAATGGTCATGTTTATCGCTAGCTAAATAGATATTTCTTGAAAAGCTCACTTTGTATTTTTGTCATTACCGTAACTAATATTCCTTATCGGCGGAAGAGTTTGTTTTCACTTTATGTATAAGCACACATGCAGCTATCTTCGTTACTGAATCATCGCCATATTTCGTGATTCTATTTCAAGTTGCGAGGACTATAGTACACACATCCACGTCACACTATCAATCAAACAATCTTGAGTCTTTACTTCAACATCGTCCTCTCCTATTCTGCCCGCCTACCGCTTGTTGTCTCTTAGTATTCCGCCTTTCGTCTGTCGTAAAACTTTAAATAAACTACATTTATTTCTGCCCTGAACTGTCGGATCGGCGACTCGTCAGTACAGTTTCACAAGATAACCATGGTGGCTTTCACGACATGCTTATTGAAATTGTCACATTTGTCATGTGTTACTCAGCTGTGTAATGATGCACATAGCAATGTTTATTTTCCTCCTTTGCATACAGAAAACCTACAATGTTACCCTCATCGACTCGTAAGTCGGTCGGAACATCTTGCACTTCTGCCGCTGTAGAACCACAAGTTTGTTCGATTATTCAGACATGTTTTTCGTGCCAATGGATGAGTGAGTGAGTGAATGAGTGTTTATCGTCTATGTTTGGCCTCCTTATCAACATGATAAATAAGAGATGGAACAGCATTGATTATCGATCGACAGTGCCATGTATATTGTTTGTGCGGAATGAGTGGACCTGCTTTGAACAATATTTCAGTTATAAGGGCGTGTCAGTTTAATATTCATTGGAGGAAAGTCCGCCGTGACGTAGGTCGAAGACGTAACCTCTTTGGCGAAAATCACGACCACGACAACGACAACGATAACGACCAGGCCAACGACAAGGAACATGACATCGACCACGACAACGATCATGGTGCTGACAACGCAAGCATTATGACTGAGGCATACGCAGGAGTTCACTGGTAACCGGGTCGTCTTATGCGCCTCCAAACGCTGTGAAGAGTTGTGAAGAGAAACCCGTGATACTCGCTCTGGATTCGCCCTGATTATGTGTTGTAGTAATGATCGGGTGGTTAAAATGTGTGACTTGGCAGATTGTGTATCATCGTACCCATGCTAGCTACGACTCGTTTGTCTGTCCCAGTCTTCTTTATGCACAGGCAGTCGACATTAAGCAGGAATATTAAACAGAACTCCGACACTCTATACCTGTAAGTTCCAGGCCATTGTCCTGTATACAGTGCATTATATCTCTATCGTAACAAAATGGAGATATAAAACACTGGATACTCGAGGATGGTTCCAAATGGACGTGAGACTGAAGAAGTGACTAAGAGGCACCTTACAAATATTTCGGTACTGTACGATGGAGGGAGTCAAACCTGGCTGTACCCCTTTCCATTGTGCTATCCATCATCCTCGAGAGATTAAAAATGCATACACGTCGTGCATCAATGTAAATTACATTGTTATACAGAGAGTTGTACGGGACAGAAAAGCGCACGCTCAGCAGGTTTTGTGTTGCATGTGTGGAAACGCTGTGTATAAATTATGTTTTCATCAACGAAAAAAGACACTCTTCTGAATCTTATTATATTTTATTTCAGAAAGAATTCCCATAGTCTCCCAAAAGATTTCAGCCAAATCTTCACGCCTAGTCTGAAAAAAACAACAACAAATTATCAGCATTATTATAAGGTCTTATCAACGTATCAAGTTACGTATCTGTATATCTATATCTCATAGCAAAAACATAACAGCACATTATGAGTAAGTAATTACGCCACAGCCAGCAATATATGCCAGGTAAATCACGGCAATGGAGTCAGATAAATCGGTGGTTGATATTATGAGCAGCCCCCACCTCGTCCCCCACGACGACACTCAATCAGACAAGTCACCGAGCCTGACCATCCGATCCATTGCGACAAGGACAGGTTACTAGGGACAAATCCTATCACGGAATCATACATTTTGCTATGTAAGACATTTTGTATTGTTACTGATGTGTGTCGATAAGTCTTCAATACCTTTTCCTTGTTTCAGCCGTGGTGACCGTGTCCGTGACCATGACCGTGACCATGTCCGTGACCATGTCCGTGTCCATGACCATGTCCGTGACCATGCCCGTGACCATGTCCGTGACCATGTCCATGACCGTGTCCGTGACCGTGACCATGTCCGTGACCATGTCCGTGACCATGCCCGTGACCATGTCCATGACCGTGTCCGTGACCGTGACCATGTCCGTGACCATGTCCGTGACCATGTCCATGACCATGCCCGTGACCATGTCCGTGACCATGCCCATGACCGTGACCATGTCCATGACCGTGACCGTGGCCATGCCCGTGACCTTCACTGAGAGTCACGAAGACAACTGCAACTAAAATAACGTATTGTTTATAGGTCTAGCTGTTTACATTAGCCTTGTTTACGTAATTCACTCCGATAAATAACTTCAGTTGAATCCTCGACACTGTTCCACACCTCCTTGTAGGTAGAAAATATACAAGTTTACAATTATACAAATTCTTAAAAGGCGATATTCGCTGCCAGATTATCCGAAGGATATTACTGGAAACTGTCACAGCATATGCTTTATTCTCAGTCGGATTATAACGCTTTATGATGAGTGAGTGAGTTTGGTTTAACTACGCTTCTTCAACAGTATTCAGTCATGTCACATCGTGTCAGCTCCATGTGGGAAGAAAGCCCGAAGTAATACTGGTTTTAGACATTTACCTACAATACTGGCGAAAGCAACGAGCACGGGTGTGGTGTTGACATATTCAGGGCGAATCTGGGATTCGAACTCACGATAACGATATGACGGGACACGGATAATGGATGTATATAGAACTTGTCATTGTATTTAAAAAATACGCGTCCACTGAAATTAACAATATGACGGAATTCTGGCTCGTCGAATGAGCGCATCTCTGAACAACGAATTGCGGCGCCTCAGACGACAGGGCCACCCGTGCCCCGGTACACGTGTATTGTAGATGTATGTAAAAGTGCTGTACTATACGTCATTGTATATGTATCCACTGAAGTTAGAATCGAAAGAAACAATATTACCAGTATAACAGAGCCCATTCACTCACCAAGTGCAAGACACAGTATCACTGTAATGTTCTTCATCTTGTTATTGACTTGTTGAAGGAGTCGGTACTGATGTCACACTTCAGTCTCAGATTATCTTTTATAGTTTCTGACAATTTTTTTTTAGCAAATCATGGTGATTTTTTTCCAAAACAAACAAGACACCCATGGTGTTAGTCACTTAGAACGGCGTTATGGAGTTAATCCTCGCATGTTGTGGTGTCCCTTCTGCCTCCTGGGCTCAGAGCCCACCATGTGGCGACCACTTATGCAGGATCGTAACGTATACACGATAGGGGCGTTCTTTCATTTCGTATATGTCCTGAACATGTAGACTGTGGAAACATAACAAATTATCTCATATATATCACGTGATCCGACAACCGCTGATATGAATTTGGGTGATATGAATTTGCTGGTCGATTAGATATTTTATGTGACGTGCGAGTTATTTAAATCTTTATATGATGACATTCGTTGTAGTAAACAAAAAAACAAGAATATCTAAATCTAAATATCGTATTAATACGAAAAGGACAAATGAAGACTCAGTTATAAGTGCCTTGAGGTAGAGAAATTACCTTAAAATATAATTTTGCTTTAGAACAGGTATTCTTCACGGGGATTCTGAAATACATATATTGTTTGTCACAAAAGCAATGCGGCTCCCTTTTTCTAATAATTGTGGTGTTAAATATATAACGCCAGTACCCGAGAATAATCGCTGTTCGAGGTATCATATACTAGTATTACGTCATATGTACACAGACTGTTTTATAAGTGGAACATGCACAGGGAAGTTGGAGAACAAATCACAGAGGGCGTTATCGTTGTCCAACAGTTTTCCTCCAGTTGAAAGTCAGGAATCCGAAGTTACTAATAATAATTACTTCTAGTTTTATTCTCTCTACATAAACAACTTACCTCTTGTTAAAATAAAGAAATGGTATGCCTGTTTTTACTTTAAAACGCCCCCCTTTCTATCACCCCCGCCCCCCCCCCCCCCCCCCCCCCCCTCTCTTCCGCGAAATAATACACAATTCTGTTTGTTTTTATGGCAGTTGGGAACATAGAGAAATTTTATGTAGATGTTTTTTCCAAACATGTGTCTCTATTTTATGTTTAAAGATGTAAAAGGCTTTAATTTCATTATGTTATTTTCAGAATTAAAAGCTCAGAAAAGCGTACATATGTAATGTTATCAATTGAATGTTACCTGAGTCTGACTCAGGTAAACGAGGAAACTGGACCCAGAAGTGTCTGGTCCAAACACAGGAAGTGCCAGTGTTGCTAGACAGTGTCATGTTTGACTCAACAACACCCTTTCCGTGGTCTATGTTAGTAATAAACTGCACAGTTACCCAGCTAGTAACACACCGCTGACAGATCTCAATATTAGGCGGTTTCAAGCTGCCTAAAGCCGGCTATAACACCGGCTATAACACGAGTCAAATCGGCCATGTTGACGGATACAGTCCGTCCTAGAAATGGTCATACTGCATTTAGGTAGGCTATCGGCTACGATGGGTCTACTCTACACTATTGTATTGGCAAGAAATAATATTCAATGCTGTAGTAACTTAGAAACCAGTCCTGGTCCATATGCAAATACTGAACTTTCGGCCATGAAAGACGATATTTTAAAGGAGCTCCGTACTCTAAAAAGCGAGCGTCGTAAACATAGTGTTTATAGTGAATATAATTTTCAATTAATTACCGAAGAAGATGTCTACATACAGAGACGAAATTTAGTGTTTACATATAAGGACGGCAAGTCGCAACAGAAGCGGAACAACAATTTGTCGAAAGACGTCAACAATCTTCAGCTATGACGTCGTTTCTAGTGTGACGTCATTCCGACCCCACGTCACAATAAGATTCGAATGGCGTCAACAATGCCATCCGATGACGGAAACAATGCCCTGTTATCTCGTGAAGTGATATATAGAATACTAAACGAGCTCCCGTGTAATACCAATTTTATGAAACGAGTGAATAGTTCTGGTATCTGACGAGCGAAAGCGAGTCAGATACCACAACTATTTACGAGTTTTTATTTATTACTTGTCATTTATAATGTTTTTAGAATTATACTGTTGAGTGTAAATAGGCTGACACCTACACGATCCATGGCATAATCCAATTGAGTTTAACAGAATAATACTTCAAACACGTCAAAAGTTGAAACGTATGAATTTAATATCATACAATGGTCCACCTTTAGAATTCAGGCGTTCGTCCCACAAAATTATGGTAGTGCTAAGGCTATCACAACTCACATAATTTAACTTAGACTAAAGACTCTCGTTGCGCTAGAGTACGATCGCCTTGTGCAACGGGGCCTTGCAGCTCAAAGTTTACAATGACGTCACAATACCCGATGACGTTATTTGTTGAATTTTGTTGCAAGATCCATCGGCGAAACAATGCCATGTGACGTCAGCCTAGCAACAAGGTTGCTGGGGTCATCGAGTGTGCATAAGCTCCTCCCAGTGATCTATCATATCCACACACAATGTCGTTGAATACGCCAAGGGATGTTGAGAGCTTTCAATATTTGTTCGTGAAACGTGTTCCGAGAGTACATAAGCACGCGTTTTGGTATTACACAATGTGTAATAAAGCTGTATGTTTATTAAACGGGTGATCTCTTCACGGGCAAGTAATAAATGACATTAGGGCACATACAGACGATCTCACCCGAGTGTTGATATACTTTATATCAAAAGACAAGAGGGTGGAGTTTAATTTATCATCCAACATCATTCTTCCAACTTTTTCTAAGCTTTATTTTTTTTATAAAATACGTTACTCATTTATTGAAAAGTTTTTTATGGTTGTATTTTCATTTATCTTTTCGCCCGCCCGCTCTCTTACTGACTGAGGTGGGAGATGAGAAACACATAAACAAATACAGATGGCCCAACGGTACACTGGGTTTTCGTTTTTGGAGCTATTCGCGATTTTGCAACAAAATAAAGATTTGAACTTTTTATTTTTCATTACAATATATGAGTGTATTGGACTGTAAGAAACCTGGACATCCGATGTTGACTTTTCAAGTATATTTCCGGTGTATAAGGTATACATGTCTTAGATGCAGAAAAGATTTCAAGCAGGGTAAGACATTCTGGGGATGTTACACTTTTTTTTAAACACAGCATATCAGAATTGAAGGTAAAACAATAAGAATAACTGACAAAGCTATCTTTGATGTTTTCGACAAAAGTTCAATAAGTGTTGAAAAGAATGTGTTATCATCTGTTGTATATGTAAATCCAGTCGGCTCGACATGGTATAACTCTAAATCACACAAACGTGTCTTATCTTTATTTTTGTAAGCATTGCTATCAATACTGTGTGACTGTGGCGATGTATAAATTGTTATGGGTGGTGATTTCAATGCAAGGTCGGGCGAGGATATCGACAGTGTTTAAGATGGTACAGTTGAGATATTGGGCAACAAGGAAATTCATACTGTATTTGATTTAGTGAGTGACAAGAGACAGTCTCATGATAACACTGTAAATCAGTTGGGAAATATCTTACTTAACTGGTGTGCTGCTTGAAATCTGTTTATCGTGAATGGTCGTTGTGGATAGGATGCAGGCATCGGGGACTTTACTTACTTAAGTCATACTGGGGAAAAGTGTGATTGATTATGTCATTTGTTCATCAACTATCTTGCGTATGTGCCCGAGTTTGATATCTCATGGCGGGCAGATGCTGAACACTTACCGTTAGCGTGTACATTTCAGTCACGTGACCATCACGTACTGTCCGTGCAGGAGCATGCTCTCGACCCTCCACGTGCTGACATCCGGTTCATTTCGGACAACAAGGCCGACCAGTTCAGAGATAATTTGCTCTCAGATAATATTGTATCCATGTTTGACAATTGTTTTGAACTTATGTTAACTAATATTAATAGCGAAGTAGGTTTATTTACTGAAGCAATTTGTAAAGAAGCCGAATGTATGAAACGTAAAAACAATAATTTTAGTTAATATTCGCAGCCATGGTTTAATAGCGAATGTAGAGAGATAGATTGTTAAGAACAAGCAGAAATGATCAGTCGTTGAACGATTTTATATGTGCTAAAGATACGTCTAAATCTATTATCAGGGATAAAAGATGTTTTTATACCAGGGTAAGTATGGACACTTATTGCTGGACAATTTGCATAATAGTAAGGCATTTTGGAGTACATAAAAAAGATTTCGGGTTCGTCTGTTGCGAAGGCTAATATATCTATGGAGGAATGGTTTGTCTATTTTAGAACTATGTATATGGACAATGGCACAAATAAGGATAATGTTGATTAGCAATGTTGGATATCGGATGATTTAACATCAGCTACCCTCAATTCACCGACATCGGTCGAGAAAGTATATGAGGCATTAGGTCATCTTAAGAGCTCAAAGTCAGCCGAAAGTGATAATCGCAGAATTTCTTGTGATATACTGGTGCCATATCTTTCCATTATTTTGAATATTTTGTTAGATAAGTGTTCGTTTCCAACTTTGTGGTCAGTGGGACTAATTTTCCCTTCTTATAAAACGGGGGATTTGCAGCTTCTAATTACAGAAGCATCATCCTGCTTAGTGTTGTCCGTAAACTCTACATTTCAATAATCAAAACTAAAATAATGCATATAATTGGGTTGTTGAGTTGCAGGCTGGTCCCGCTCGGGTTATGTATTTATATTACAAGCAGTCGCTAATTGTAATTTTACCCCAAAAGGTACATTACATTTTTTGTTGATTTCACCAAGGTGTAAGATCTGGTCAATAGATCAAAATAATGGTCAATTTTACTTCAAAAAGGAATATCAACTAAAATGATAGGTTGTTGTACATGTTTAAAATGTAAATATTCCTTCTCAGAGATGTTTGAGTGTTATATTGATGTACCCCAAGGTTGTGTCTTGAGCCAATTTTTATTTTCAATATTTATTAATAAACTGGCAGAAAACAGAATTATCTTGTTATCCGGATATCCAACTACATCCAGAATTAACACAACTCTTTTTACTTTTGTTTGCCGATGATGTACTTCTTTAGTTGAACACTATCTC